AGACACGATGTTCGGGCACACTCTGGGTGGTGTAGCCCCCTTAGAACCTTCCTGAAGACAGATGGGGCTGCAGGGACCTGGCCTGGTGGGCAGCAGTAGCAGACCAGCCTCACTGAGGTGCTAAGTCCGTGTCCCAGGCATCACCTAGGAGGCAACCTGCCCACTCCTCTGAGCCTTCCCCACGCAGGCGCCACTTGTATGGACCTAGGCCTGCTACTGATTTGTTCACCTGACCCCAGGGTGAACAAGGATGAATGACAGAGACACAGGGTCCGTTTAACATCCATGTAGCCAGGGAGCTCTTTCCTCCAGTGGGCCCGGGAGCCCCGAGTGTCTGGCTTGTCCTGCTTTTATTCATTCAGGCATGTGTACAAGCAATTAAAGTAACACAAGGTTCATCCACCTTCCACTGCCTGTTAGTACACGCTCAACTTAATCTCAGCTCTACTTACTTTTCCCTGGAACCTGCGACATGCGGTCACCCCTGTGCATTGCCCCAGTTGTCTTTTTTCTTTGTGCTCACAGAGGGGGCCAGTTAGGGCTTAATTCTCCTTAACTGGTCTCCCACAGAGAGCCCTAGGGTCAGGCTGTGCATCCGCTTTGTTTTGCTATAAAAACACTGATGGTGAATGATTTGTAAGAAGACATCTGCTGGATGTTTTTAATCTTTAAAGACTGTCAGTGATCCTGCCTCCTTGCCAATCTTCAGGGTTTACCTTGCCTATTCTCCAAAAAAAGTACAGAGGTGGTTGTCTGTTTTTTTACCTTAACTCTAACCCTCTAAATCTACCCTAGCCCTAGCCCTCACCCCAACCCTAGCTGAGATGATTTTAGATTTGGTTGTTGGGCTTTGTGGCCCACACCGATAATCTCAGCACTGGGAGAGTGGGGCAAAGGGATCGCAAGTTCCAACGCAGACTGGGCAACTTAGTGACTTAGATCCTGTCTCAAAATTTACTAAGAGCTGGGGATATACTACAGTACAGAGGCCCTGAGTTCAGTCTCTAACACTGCCCCTTAAAAGAATGTATGTGCCAAAAGATAAGCAAATATGAGTCAACCCAGCTCTTCCCCTTGTAGATATCTTCTTGAAAGAGCTAAGGATATCATGTCACAGGGATGCATGCACACCCATGTTTATAGTGGCACAATTCCTAATAGCTAAGTCTTGGAAGCAGCTTGTATATCCATCAGTAGGTGAATGGATGAAGAAACTGTGGTATTCGTACATACTGTAGTACTACCCTGCCATGAAGGATGAATTTGAGTCATCTGTAGAAAACTGGATCCAAGCCGGGTGTGGCGGCACTCAGGAGGCTGAGGCATGAGGATCAGTTGTGAGTTTGAGACCAGCCTGGGCTACAGTGAGCTCAAGGCCAGCCTGAACTGCATAGCGAGCCCCTGTCTCAAGAAGACAAAAAAAAAGAAGAAGAAAGAAAAGAAAGAAAAATGGATCCACCTTGAGATCGTAATGTTAAGTGAAAAAAATGAGACACACAAGCTTCAATATCCCATGATTTCTCTTACAGGAGAAACCAAAAGTATAAATAACTTCAAGACCAAACTAAAGAATGAATAACAGGAAACAAGGGAAACAGATCTTTTGTAAGTGGGAAAGGGATCTAGAGATGGTGGGAAAAGGAGAGGGAAAGGCAAAGTACAGGGGGTGGAGATGTTTTATGTGTGTGAGCCAATTCCCCATGCCGAGTGCAGTCATCATGTACCATATATGCAAACATGTACAATAAAAATAAATAACTGAGTAAATAAACAAGTTCCTACTCAGGATTTTCCACGAAACTACCATGGATTTTGCCCAGTAACTCACTGGCTGTTTGTCACATTTTTTTTCAGGGAGGAAAAAGTAGAAAATTATAGTTTCTTAGATTACAGGCAGATGCTTTTTGTTTGGAGTGCCCTTTTGCTGTAATGAATAGGCGTAAATCCATCAGATGAACGGAAGCGCCCCTCTTGGAGCGGTTGGAAGCAGAACAGGGTCTGCGTGGGGAGGTCACAGTTCTGAGTCCAGAGATTTCAGTGTTTTCATTGTCACGGAGACCTTGCTGGTAAAACTGAGACAAAGCTGATACTTAAGCCTTCATCAAGAAACAGGGTCCTCTTTCTGCAGGAGAGATCATGCGTAGGATAACCTTTTATCCTACTGTTTAACGTTGTGCCCCCAGGTAGTAGCGGTTTTTTTCCTCTTCTCAACCCTTTTGTTCTTTTTATCCCTTTGCCTGTAGAAAATCTTCATCTTCCAGCTGGTGCAGTTGTGGGCTCTTTATTCTTTCACATATTGTGCTTTTGGGAGGTTGTCCTCGGGCATGCATAGATAGGGGCCGATGACGATGCCATGGACCCGCCGATAAAAAGTAAATTAAAGAATGCCTCAAAATGACAAGTAAGCTTTTGTGCTGTTGGGTAGTAATAGCATTGTAGGGAAGGGGAGCAGGTCCTCAGCAGTTGTTTCCTTGTCTCTACTCCTTTAATGTTCCCCTTAGAGTAAACTGTGCAGCCAGCTTCTGTCTTCCTTTAAAGTGTACATTTTTGTGAAAGTGAATATAAACCTAGCATTACAACTCGAGCAGGAATATCCGGGGAATCTCATCATCTCTCTCCCGTACTAAACATCTAGCGCACGGTAATAACTCTCTTCCTCGATAAATCTCATTAGCTGAGGCTCAGGCCACGGAGGCAGAAGTTCCTTAGGGGGAGGAGAAGGCTGTGCCAGGATTCTGCTTGGACTTCATTCCGGGGCCCATTTAAGTGAATTAAAATGCTCAGGTGCCCAGTCTCCATGGGGAGCTGAGTTTACGTTATGTGAGGAACTGAGTAATTATTCAGTAAGGCTTCCTGCTGTTAGATTGTGTTGGTGCATGAACATTTAGAAAAAAAAATACAGGAGGGAACGGGTTTAAGCATTAGTAAACTATTTGGGGGCGAATATTTTCCCTAATTACTTTCCTACCTGGAAATTTGTGGCTTACGAGAAAAGTTACAAACTGAAGCAGGAGGCTCTGAGGTAATAGAGGAAACCTTCAGTTGCTTTGTAATAAAAGATTCCTCGTTTTGTGATGAAGTTGCGTAGTAAAGTCATGTATTTCCTGTCAAGTACAGCATTTCCAAGTGACTGACAATTTTGCGTTCTTTTTTTGTGATGGAAAATTATACGGCATAAACGAGACACCTTGGGTTCTGGCTTTGTGGCTTGCAAAGGTGTGACACAACCTCATTTTTTCATCTGTACAATAGGGATTAGAAAGCCATCTCCGTGGAGGTGTTCAGGGTCGAATAGCAGAACAAAAAGCGTGAGTGTTTAGAGGAGGGTCCCTCTCCTGCCCCAGCACCTTTTTTTGTTATCACCCATTGCATTTTGCCTCGTGTTTGAATACGGTCGTCACTGCAGATTCCATCAGCACGTGTGGTTCCGGAAGTGCACTGAGGCCACGTTCCTTTCACATCCTCTGCAGGCGCATGTTGCTCTTTAACTCAGTGGTGGTTCTTCTGTGAGGCTTAGCCAGCGCCCTTTCTGTATTTCTCAGGGCCTGTGAGCACTGCTTGCAAGTGCCAGGCGATAGGCTGGCCAGCGTGTTGTCACACAGCGTGGCCAGACTTGCCCCATGCTCTCTGAGGGTATGATCGGATGTCCTGACGTTTCATGCTTAGCTTTTGGGAGTGGTTGTGGATGTGTTGCCAGACAGTTCTTTCTCATCAACTGAGGGAGCTCCTGTGGGGTGCGAGGACAGTGGGCTCATGAGCTGAGCCATGCTGCAGGGATGTGGCCAGCTTCTTAGGACTGTGGGCAGAGCCTGGGTTTGTGGTCGCTCTGCCTTTACCGCCCTGCCCCCTCTCTTGTCATCTCGCCTTGACAGTTGCCGCTGCAGTTGGTTTGGGGGGGTGGGGCGTGAGTACCTGGGGCCGTGTGTGACGCTGACAGGTGAAGCATCTTCATGTCTACAGTGGGGTCTGGGCTTGGTCCCAAATAGTTCCTGGCATGTAGTGGGTCAGCACTAAGCAGGTTGAGACCCAAAACTCCAGCCCTTATTCCTAGAAAGATTGCGCACCATTCTTTCCTTTGAAATAGCATTTTAGATTTCAACTTTACTGGGCGTCAGATGTGTAGTTCTCAGTAAGAGGACTGCTGATTCAGAATCCTGCAGCTAAAATTGCCGTTTCCCTGTGTAGCACAGACCCTCTTCTGTGGCACTGGTGAGAAGACAGCAGAATTCTGGGCAGGAATAGCCTCTCTTGTCGTACTTTGCCCTTGTAATATGCTGCTGCTTTGGCTCCTTCTGTTTTCTTTCCTTTTTCATTTCTGGATGCAGTCTGAAATCTTGATAAGACCTTGAATTTATGAGATGGAAAATCACCTGGGATCAGTGAAAGTACACTGTAACATAGCACCAAATTCCAAGACTTGGGCTACTCAGAAAAATGTGCTTTACTTCTCCTAAGGAGTGGGGCACTTGGGGACAAGGAGGAGCCTGCCCTGGGGTCCTGCGGCCCGAATACAAGTCCTTCTTCCACCAGTTACCACTGAGTTACACTCTTGGACTGCCAGTGTCTTTCACTGTAAAATGGTAACCTGATGAAATAGTTGGGAGGATTCAATGGGATAATGTCTGTGGAGGAATTAGCACATAATCGGATTGTTTTTATTATAATTATTAAGCTGACTCATCATTCAGTGCCCACTCTGCCTTGCTTACAGTTGTAATAGTGCATTTTGAAAAGTTTAGTGTCATCATTAGAACCCAAGAGAACTAGTACTAAGGACTGTTACATTTAACCAGCTTGTTGAATGCAGCTTAGTTTGTATACTCTATTTTTAAAAAAAACTTGGTGATTTTAGATCTTTCTGAAAGTAGCACTGAAAATGTAACTTCTTTGAGGATTGATTAATACAAAAAGTGGAAGAAACTGAGAGGGAGAGAAGAAGTATCATGAGCCTGAAAATGAAATGGATTCTTATGTTATGACTGAATTTTTTCTCTCCTCAGATCTTTTAGAGAAATCACGGGTGGTTAAACAGCCAAGAGGAGAAAGAAACTTCCACGTGTTCTATCAGCTGCTGTCCGGTGCCTCCGAAGAGCTCCTCCGTAAGACCAGTTTTGGGGTGTTAATCTGTATTGTCACAGCGTTTTCCAAAGCATTCTCTTTCAAACACATTCCATATGCTTTCCCTTTCCTTCCTGAGACTTTTCCATGAGTTTTAGCCGAGGCGCAGAGCATGGTGTGTTTGTGTCTGCTGCCTCCCAACATTCATGTCTTGTCCCTGTACCTCATCAGACTGTGCCCTGCGTCTCCGATGGGTTAAAGGAAACAATTGCAGGGGTAGTGGCTTAACCACACACTGAAAAATAAAATGGAAGAATATTTCAGTGTTAATAGAGAGCAGTAAGCGAGTATAATTACATAAAATCAAGTGGTTCAGTAAGGATTTAAAAATAATGAATATTTTACAGCTGATACAAGAGGTAAAATCCTGATCCTTGGATATTTCAGAGAGTTAGTCATAAGAATAGACTCCAAGAGCCAGTAGCTAAGTGATGAAAAGTACTGAATAAATAGGCCAAGCCTGAAGAGTTATGAAAAGTCAACCACACTCGAGGAGGAAAGCCATCCTAATAATCGGCTGATGCACGTTAAAATAGCACAGACGCGTCCACTGTACACATACGAAAAAGGTGTTACCAAGGACAGTTAGCCGGTTGTTGCTGATGTACTTCAAAGTGGTGATCCCATCCCGGGGGACTCGTTAGCAGCCTCCACTGAGAGTCACAAAATGATCAGAGCCTGCTACCCAGTCACGCCACTCTTTGCAGTAGAGCCCACCAGAATAATTGAAATGAATCAAAAACATTTTATGCAAAGGAGCTTCTCACTGCCCTCTATGTATTACCAAAACAGGAGAGAACCCACATAGGCAATGCTGAGAGAATCCTCTAAGAAATCCTCTGTTTTCATGGAATTGTCCATTGAACGCATTTTGCATCATAAAAGTGTGGAAAGTGGCTTAATCAGCAAGCATAAATACCAAAAAGCAGGGTATGAGTAACATACAGCAATAATAAAGGTGGTTTTAGGAAAATACTATAATTGTTATTTGCGCATCAGAAAGTCATCTTGCCAGAAGGGTTAAAAATGAAGTTTTGAAGATGATTATATGTACCAAGAAACTTACCAGTTTGTATGTGTGCCTCAACAGACAAACTTAAGCTGGAGCGCGATTTCAGCAGATACAACTACCTGAGTCTGGACTCGGCCAAAGTTAATGGGGTCGACGATGCGGCCAATTTCAGAACTGTTAGGGTAAGCGCAGTGCATTCGCCATACTTTAAAATGAGTCACACTAGATTGCTCAGTCAGAACTGGTAACAATTCTGAATTTTCTTTAAAGTATAGCTCCCCTCCCTCAGGTTTTAGAATTATACAAGAGTTGGTTACATTTCTGTTAGTTTGGTTTTTCACTGGCTCAAAACCATGCAAGGCTACAAAGGCAATGCTTTATAAGCACTCAGAACTTGACCATTTATCAAAAGAGCTTTCATATATCATCCTGAGGTTTAACTCTTTTAATGTTGTATTTAAGTTCCAAATATTTTATAGCCAAAGCTTTGCAGCCCAAATTAATTTCCAAGTGTGAATCCTGCCCTTGGATCCTGTTGAAACTCCCAACTGTTTTCGAGACAGAAAATCTTGTTTTTGTACAGTTTAGAAAACTGAGGTGTAAACCAGAGTGCTTAGCGTTCCACTTTCATTAGAGAAGAAATGACTTTACACCCTACTCCACTTTCTGTCTTTATGTGGCACATACTTTCAAAATTAGTCCTATTGTGACATGATGTGTTAATAGGATTCACTTCCAAATGAGACAGCTGGGGTTGGGGGTGGGCGCGGTGAGGTCCCATTATAGGTAGGACAAGATTGCCATTTGTTAATTCTTGTAGGGGGAGAAAAGGGTGTGAGGAGTCTTTCCCTAGCTTTTCTGCTTTTGTATATGATTGAAATTTTCCATAACAAACAAAAAAGTGTATTATTCCCGTTGCTAGAGTTGAAAGAAATTTGTATATGATTGAAATTTGTATATGATTGAAATTTGTATATGATTGAAATATGATTGAAATTCCCGTTGCTAGAGTTGAAAGAAATTTGTGAGTCTTTCTCTTACACACACACACACACAAATGCCAGCTGTTCTCAAAAAGAGCATCTCTCAGAGCCTGCCATTTTAAGGAACTGTATAACCATGCTCATATGGAAGCAATAGTCGGCTGACTCCTGGACATGGTTGGAGTTAAGACTCAGATCTAAGGCCGGTGCTGTAACCACTCTGCCCGGCACATAGCACACTCCCTCCAAGCTTAGGAGTGAGCCAGTGCCCCCGTACCCGCCACATCTTCAAGGAGACGCTTCACCTTTGCGAACCAGGGTTTTCTTGTATGTAAAATAAGGGAGGAGGGGGCTGGGGATTTAGCTCAGCGGCAAAAGCACCTGCCTGGGAAGCACAAGGTCATGAGTTCGGTTCCCGGTACCGGAGAAAAACCAAAAAAAAAAAAAAGGGAGGAAGTTTTCTTTGTCGGGAATTGTCGAAGTGTCTTGTTCGGTTTTGTTTCCAGTGGCAGAGCCCCAGCGTGGACCTGGGCTGCTTCTCCAGCCTCCTCTTCCCCGCTCTGCCCAGCACGCAGGATGGGCAGGGGCCAGAGTCACACCCAGCAAGACAGTAGCCTTATCTTAAGTTTTTACCCTTCAGAAATAAATCTGGTTGATCTTTTTAAAAAGATAAAGAGCCTCAGAAAGGGAGCAGGTGCTGCTTCTCTCTCCCCAGAACGCCATGCAGATTGTGGGCTTCATGGACCACGAAGCCGAGTCCGTCTTGGAGGTGGTGGCCGCCGTGTTGAAACTGGGGAACATCGAGTTCAAGCCCGAGTCACGTGTGAACGGTTTAGACGAAAGCAAAATCAAAGATAAAAATGGTGAGTCTGTGGAGGCTCGGCTTTGTGTAGGAAACTTACCTTGAGCTTCTGCCCAGATTTTTCTCTAGGAAATGAAACGCGTGCTTTGTGTTGGTTTGGGAAAACTTACTAGTGAACCCAAACTGAAATAATAATGGGAGCCACGTCTTCAGCTTTCTGACTTATGTCAGGCTGTTGGGCTTGAGTGTGGCTTAGGATCAGCCTCGGCCTTGGTGGTAATTACTAGCGGCACACAGAGCATCTCTTTCTGGACCCGTCTCCCCCTGTCCCCAACAGAGTTGAAAGAAATTTGCGAGTTGACCGGCATCGATCAGTCCGTTCTGGAACGAGCGTTCAGTTTCCGAACAGTGGAAGCCAAGCAGGAGAAAGTTTCGACAACACTGAATGTAGCTCAGGTGGGTAAATCGTGCGGTCCCTGAGAAAAGGTTTAGAACTTGATTTTATGTGAAATTCCGTGTTGTAAGCTCTTATTTCCACGTTGTAGTACATTTGAGACATTGCTCTAGGCATTGGAGACATAGCGAGAAAGGTCTCTGCCTTCCCTCATATGGAACTTAACGTCCTGGAAGGGAAAGCTGGATAATAATAACAGCAGACATAACAGGCGCATGGCAGAGCAAGCCAGCAGCAGGCGACTGCAGTGACCAAAGGAAAAAGGGAAGCGGAGTGAGGAAAACTTGAAGGCATGGGGCGGCGGGGTCAGAGCGACAGAGCCCGGGGAGCATTGTGAGTGAAGGGTGGCATGGTCAGCCCTGGCTTTCACAGGGTCACCATCCAGTAGGGTGAAGTAGGGAAGCTGCCAGGTTGCTCCCCACCCCGAGATGCCAGTCGCAGTGGAGTGGGTGAGAGGTGGTCCTGTCTGAGCTGTTTAGAAGGCAGAGGCAGCAGAATTTGCTGATGGTGTGTAGTGCGGTAGAAGAGTCAGGGGTGACTAAATGTTTTGGACCCAAGCTTCTGGAAAAATGAAGTTGCCACTTCCTGATTTGGGGAGGAGAGTTAGGAGAAGCCAATTTTGTGGTCAGATGGCCAGAGTGGCCCCCCTGCCTTGCTGTCCTTTGTACTGGAGCTGACGAAGTCTTTGTGACACACAAATCGGGGCTGTCATCTTCTCTCTGTTTGGCTCAGTTAAGCAGATGTGTCCCTGGATGGCTGCATGTGTGCATGTGTACATGGCGGCACCAGAGCCCCAGGTACTGCAGGCTCCTCATTCTGGAGCCAGGATCTTTCCCACCTCTCAGTGCTGAGCTGGGCTGGAGTCACATGACATTCAGGACTCTTCCTACTTTGTCCTACTTTGTTTATTCAATTGTTTTCTTCCATCTCTTCCTCCTCCTCACTAGCCTTTGGCTCTGTCAGTCAGAAGGGTGGAGTTGCGCGTCATCTGTGGTGTGAGCAGAGCCAGGCTTTCCCTCTGCTTGCTGAAGAAAGCCTCCCACACCCGTGGCTCTGGCAAATACTAGAACTTGGTTTTGTATGGAGATTCGGTTGCTTGCGGTCCTGCCCTGCTGTCACTGCTGTCTGCTTCCCCCGCTGACTGACTGCTTCTTGTTAGGTCAGGTCAGATTGCAAGCACCTCACTTCATCAAAAAAATGTCCATCCAGGTGTGTAGTACAAGTACAAGCCTGTCATCCCAGCCAGCACTTTAGGGGGCTGAGGCAGGAGGATCACAAAGTCTAGCCCAGCTGGCCAACTGAGTAGCTTAACAAATCCCTGTTGCAAAATAAAGGGCTCAGAATATAGCTCAGTGCAAAGGCCTTGAGTTCAGTTCCCAGCAACCTCTCCATGCCCCCCTAAAAGTGTTGAGAGCCTGCAGAGCACAAAGCCCCCCCAAGTGGGCACTTGATAGAAAAATAAGGAATTACGGAAGGCTTTGTGGAGAAATCAAAGGATTCATATAAAGGGCAGGCAGTGGGGCATTTCCAAGAGAACGCATTGAGAAAAGGCAGGGTTAGAGCGCGTATCAGGAGCAGGGTGGGTGATAGGTAAGGCTTCGCTGCAGTTGAAATTTGGGAAGAAGATTCAGAGCTGTGTGCTTGGGGTAAGCTTGGGGTCGAGAGTGGGATGTCTAGTAGAGGCCCTCAGGCCTGGGCTTGTTGAAGAGCTGACTGGCTGCACCCACAGCGTGCTGGATTTCATGGGTCTGAGTTAGGGCCAAAGAATTTACATTTCTTCTCATCAGTGCCAAGGTCTTGGGCTGCTGCTGGTCCAGATCACAGTGTGAGAACCGCCGAGTTTGGACATGTTTTAGTAGCCAGCCTAGGAGTTGTTATCTGTACAGCGATACCACTGAACAGCCTGTGTCTTGTGAGAAGTCCTGGGAGGGGCTTGTATCTTGTGGGTCTGTTTTTAGTGTTTTACTCTAAGAAACCAGGTCCAAGTGCTTCCTACTTGATGAGCTTGAGCTCCCTTGTAACATGGCGTACAGCCTTCTCTACATTTTTAAACTTCTGCCATGAAAGAACATGGCTCAGGACCTTCAGATTTTCAGTACCAGAGTGGAATGCTACTTCTTTTGAATGTAGTCAGAGTACCCGGTTCCCCTGACTTACCCCTGGTTGGTTTTGATCCTTGCAGGAAGTGATTTATTTTGTTAACTTTTCCTCATAGCTCCCATTCTTGGGGCCCAGTACTCTTTTTATTGCCCTGTGCCTCACTGTCCTGCAACACTCTTAGATCTTCCCCCAGATAGGATGACTAAGACTGCAGTAATGCAAACTCGGGCAGGGTGTTTCTACAACTTCGCCCTGTCCTTGGCCTCTAAGGCCCTCAGTAAGCTGACCCCATGTGGTTAATTTCAGTTTGAGGCATTCTTGTTCCCTGTATGCCATGCTTATTTTTACCTGGTGCCTTTGCTTATTTTCTGCATACCTGATTGCCCCCTGTCCAAGGAGCTCCCTTGATCAAATAGACCCAGACTACCCCTTGAGTTCCTTTTCTCTGCGGTTTGGCACTTGGCCTCTGATCGTCTCGCTTGTGTCACTTTGGACTCCCCAGCTCCACGCCAGCTCCTGGAGGGTAGGCACGTGTCTGTGTGTCTCTTTGCCCACTTTCTGACCTGGGATATGCGTCACCTCGGAAGCAGATTCCTCATGGACTTTGTGGACTTCATGCAGCTGCAGAATTGCGTAGTCTTAGAGTGTGCCTGGAGCCCAGGGCAATGAGCCTGCATACTTGCCGTGCTCTCTGACTTCCGCACACCTTTCTAGTGATCTTTAAGAGGATGTGAAACACCGCTGGCCTTAGAACTTTGTAGCACATTGTTGTGGAGATTAGATGGCATGGATTGGGCTCGGGAAGTCAGGGGTAGCGGGTTGACAGACCCCAGTGCTGCACACAGCTCAATCGGCATTACGTTATTTGACAAATGCTTGGTTTTTGCTTTTACTTTATTTTCTTTTTAAAGTTTGAATTTGAGTGTCTTTAACCCAGAATGCGTCCTCTAACCCCTGCAGACCCACTGCTTCCTATTCTTTTCTGCCACGCGGTCCTTGGAAGCGTTTTAAGTTTGAGACCCCTGGACTGACATTTGTTTGAAAGACCCAAAGATGACCAATACGGGCTGTGAATACACTTTAAAAACCAGAAAGCAGCTTCCAAGAATAAGTTGTCACTGTTCGCGCAGTTGCATATTGAAACAGAGCTGTGTTAGGAGCAGATAGCTTGAGACTTAAAAAGCCAGGTGACGTTAAGACGAAAAAGAATTTACTTACAAATATGTGGTGTTTTGAGATGACTTGAATTTACAAGAAGGAAAGGGAAAGAATTAAGCAGTTCCACTGCATGGGCCCATGAAATGGTAGAGGAAATAGTTGCTTCAGAAGTCACAATGTAGGGCCAGAGATAGAGCTCAGTGGACAGCACCTTGCTTGGCAAGCGCAAGGTCCTGAGTTCAATCCCAGTCCCCAAAAAAGAGTCACAGTGTAAATGCGTCTACAGACTGTGCCAGGTCCTGGTGTAAGCAGTTGGATTACCTACATTTGTATTACTAATATTTTTGTTAGTCCAGGTTTGCAGTGCGTAATGATTACGCTTATCATGGGGAGTTGCACGAGTACAGAACACACCTTAATCCTTTCTTCATCCCCTCCTCTCCCTGCCCCATCCTTCCAACTCCTGCTCCCCTTCCCACCTGAAGAAGCTCTGTTTCCATTTTTTAATTCAGTTCTCTCTTCTTAATTCCCTTTCCCCTTCCCTCTCCTCCTCCATCCCTTGCTTACCATTTGTAAAAGCTCTCCTGTTGTCTGTCTCCAGGAAGAGCGGCTGTCAGTAGCAGAGTGAAAACTCTAAGAAGGGGTACCGGGGAAAGGCTCTGCGCCCAAATTAGACTCTGGCTTCTCTCTGTGTTTTAACCTTTTCCATGCATTTTCTGCAGTGAAATTACGCACTCCCTTCTTGTGCTAATTTCTCGGTGTATTTTCTGCTTCAGCTGCAGTCGCTGTCTGAGATGTGGGAGGGTGGCTTGGGATGAGCACAGCAGTGTCCAATGAAGGGGAGAGGAGGGGCTCTTTCTAGCTGTGATGCCAGCCAGGTGAGCATGTTAAGGAAATTACCAGCGCGTCACCTAGGAGGAGATGTGTGACAAGCATCCCCACATAATCTAACAGGCTGTGCTCTTTATGAAATAGAAAGGTACCAATTTATTTGAACAGTCACAGAGGACTCTTGTGAGCAGCAAAGTAGGCACACGCATTGGGGCATGGGGCTTTCCTGTTTCTGCAGTTGCTTCTCAGTCTGCCGATGCCATCCCAGCGACCCTGGGAGGTCGGGTATTAAACTGCTACAGGACCCAGAAAGCACCTGCTGCATCCGAGGGAAGTTAGATTCTTCCCGCCAAAACTAACTTTTTCAGGCCTTTGGGTGCTAAGTCATTATGACATACATATTGGGCTGGGCGTGTAGCTTGTTGGTAGAGCGCTTGCCTATTACGCCTGAGCTCCTGGGTTTGGTTCCCAAGCACCATCGAAAAATAAAAAAGACATACATGTACCTGTCTTTTCTGTGGCAGGTAGCTCAAACAGCTTTAAAAACACATAACTAAGCATATAAAGTGATTTTATCTTCATTATACAATTAAAAAATTCACTGTAGAAAATTTTTAGAAAATACACAGTTAAATGAAAAAAAATTTAAGGACATCAGCAGTTGGAGCCATTTAATGTATTTCCTTTCCTATGTGTAATTTTAAAAAATAGGTGTTGTAGGGGCTGGGGATTTAGCTCAGTGGCAAAGCGCCTACCTGGTAAGCACAAGGTCATGAATTCGGTTCCCGGTACCAGAGAAAAACCAAAAAAAAAAAAACAAAAAAAACCAAAAAAATAGGTGTTGTATTAAGTATACATTAAAAAAACTATACATTAACATTTTTTCAAATAGCATAGACATTTCCATTTTATTAATTTCATAACCATTATTCTATGATGATTGTATAGTACCTCTTTCAATGAGTGTGTATTTATTTTACTATTTCCCTTTTGGATTTCAAGATTGCTTCTGGTTTTTCCCTCCTTAACATTGAGATGAATATCTTTGTGATAAAAACTTCTGCAGTATTTAGTTAGGTTCTTGGGATGTAAAAAACACAGTAACTCTCTGTAAATAATTTGCCTAATGAGTGGCTTGAGTGCTTATCCAAAATACAGTAACTGATTCTAAAAGAAATTTGAAATTAAGGGCTTGAAATATTTTTTTAAAATCTTTTCAATGTTTTATGGAAATGAAGCACTGTGGTAGTTGTGGGTTTTCAATTCTTCTTCTTCTTTTGTGATAGGCTTACTATGCCCGTGATGCGCTGGCTAAAAACCTCTACAGCAGGTTGTTCTCGTGGCTGGTGAATCGAATCAATGAAAGCATTAAGGTACGGGATCTCTCCAAGCAAAGAAGTCACTTGTAAGAAATGGCATTCATACTGTAGTATAACCATTAAGTTGGATAAAACTGTTTCATAATCAGATAGTTTATTGCCACTAAGAAAGAATTTACCTGGTATAAGAGGGAAAATTGCTGGGGATTCCGTTCATCTTCCTCTGCTGTGTGTGTGCTATCTCCGGTAAACAGGCTAAGGCCTCTGTGGAATTACTCTGAAAGTTCTGGCTCTTTGGTAACTGTGTGCACACTTGCCTGGAAAGGTCACTTCGTTTTCTGAGGATTCATATGTTCTTCATTAAAACAAGGGGATTATGTTGGGTCAGCTTGAAGGCCCTGTCTCTTATACAGTTCAGTAATTCCTCCTCGCCTTTTTTTTTTTAAGCACCAGTAATAGCTTCTTTAGATTACGTACTGATATCCTGTCTCACTAAGTTAAAAAAAAAACGCTAAATTACAGTTATTCTCCTAATTAAGAAAACACAATTAACTTACATGTATGTGTTCACTGAATGCTTATTGTCATAGTATGCCTTAATTAACTCATTCATTTGGAATTGTTTTCAAGGCACAAACAAAAGTAAGAAAGAAGGTCATGGGCGTTTTGGACATTTATGGATTTGAAATTTTTGAGGTAAGATTTTCAAAACTTTTTGTAGCACTTTTATTAAAGTGGAACCGCTGGGAAGGAAATCTTATATTTTCTAGCCCACATTTATGATATGTAACTATATAATTTTGAATCTTTGAATATTCTTTGTGCAATTGTAAGAAAATGTGGGGTGTGTGTGTGTGTTCTCAGTGCTATGAGCACTTGGAGAAATGGTTGTTGGGTAAGAATTTCTTATTTTAGTACTTGACATTTGAAATGTCAAGCGAAATTCTTGAGACTTCACCAAGCTACGTGGACATTCTGCCTGTGGTCATTCAGTAATTTGTAGGTTGTGTGACAAGTGGGCACCATGAGAAGAACCAGGAGTGTGTCAGCTGGACACTTGTCAAAAAGCCTGGGACCAGGGGAAGGGTCTGATGGCTTGACTCCTTCAGTTGAAATAATTTCTGCTGCATTCAGAATAAGGTTTTTAAAGAGGATACCATGCTTATGACAAATTAAATGTTCTAACATTATATACTTATATTAGAATTTACTGTTTACTCCCTTGCTAAATTTGACATTTAGAAGTAGTTTTTATTAAGACACTGTCCCTTTTAGGGGTCGTGTTTTAGTTTTATTCAGGGAGATAATGAGTCGATCAGGCTCCTATTTTCTCAGTTCTCCTCCACATGTCATAATTGGTGAATTCCTTTCAGTAATAAGGCCTGCCAGCACGGACACCCCAAAGAATTTACATGTTCCAATAAATTACAGGCATGGAATCACAGGAAGAAAAACATAAGAGCGTTCTCATCTGCTGAGCCAGGCTTTCTAGCAAATTCCTTTTTCTGATCATGTCCATGTTTATGGTAGTACATTCTCCCTCAATTACGTGCTGTCCTCAATAGCTAGTGATAACATGTCCTGAGGGCTGGCTCTGTGCAGCCATCGTGGTGGTGTGTGTACTGTCTGATTTAATTTTGAGAGCAATTTCGTAGAAGTACAGTAGTTGCTATTATCTTCATTTTTTAGATGGGAAAGCAAGGCCCTGAAGGCCAAGGGGATCCCCCAAAGCTGTACAGCTGTTGAATGGCAGATGTAGGACCCGGATCCATCCCGGGGCTCTTTTAATATTTTTATTTATTACTTGTCTTTTTTCCCTTGCTGCTGGGGTTGAGACCAGGGCCATTTCTTTACTTTTCTTCCAAAACTCACAGGTTTCCCAGTATCTGGAAGTAAGGGAAAATCAAATGTTGTAATAGGTTCCCAGGTGCTCATTGCTCCACCCTTGTCACCACCCCGCAAACCTGGCCAGCACTGGGAGCCGTCCCAGGTGGATGTGTGTGTGCTGGCGGCTGCCTGCTTGTGTCCCCAGAGCACAGCAGCGCTACACCGTGTCTGCTGTCCTGGGGTCCTATTAGCAGACAGAGAAGCTGCAACCCCTGGGTAAAAGGAAGAATTTGAAGTTTGGGAGGTTGAAGTATTGCTCGTGTAAACTCCAAAGTCACTGTGCTGACATCCATTTCCTTCCAGCAAGACCTCAGGTTACTGTCGGTAAATGGGCAGAGTATCAAAGTCATTCTTTACAGTTGGCAGGAGAAAGCATTTCTTACCTAATCCTGTGCATTGCCGGGGTAAATTCAAATGATTTCATGAGCAGGGCGGGTGGTAAGCAGGAGTGTCACTAGCAAGTTAGAAGAGAAAGTTATATTCAGTGATATTTCTGAAACCTGATTGGATTTTAATTTTGCCGGAAAAAGACGTATTGATCTTAAGCCAATGGGCCATTGCTTAATGCCATGTCAGAATACTTGGAAACTTTTAGAATAGGATAACGGGGTTATGATGGGACATCTACGTAGCTTCAGCTTCCAGTGTGTCCCAAGATCTAATCAGCTGCAGGTGAGAGACCCCAGTAGTGTGCAAAGGAAACTGAGTTGTACCTCGTCAGCAACTTGAGCTGTTTCTCAAATTATGTATTGAGTAGCTGATCTGAGCCAGATTCCACAGGCAAATCGGAGATGTTGCTGTCTGCTTGGAGATAACAGTCTGGGCTTTGTGATTGAAGGCTTGTTGCGGCTTGAGGACACATCCATCAGGTGGGGAGGTGTAATCAGGAAGCCGGATCACTTTCTGGAAGGGTGTTTCCTAAGGACAGAGTTGGATATTCCTGGGTAAACACCCATCAACTTGGCCCTGGCTGAAATACCTTTCAGTAGCCTAGGAACACTTTTTTCCTTCTGGTTAATTCAAGTTTCTCTCCGATCTTGTCTTCCGTCTGCAAGTGACACCATTGTCCTCGACACTATTACGACTAGTGAACTTTTGGTTCATGCAAACGCGTGCATTCTATTTGTAAATGCCTCCTTCCTTTCTTGAAAGGAAGACTGCGTCAGTAGCTCTCAAACGGCTCGGCTATACTTGGAATTACCTGGTGAGGTTTTGAAAATTCAGCTGTCCAGGCTGTGCACAGAGCAGTGGTGTCAGAATCGCGAGGTGGGGCCTGGTAGCAGCATTTCCAAAGCTTGAGATGTGCAGTCAGAGCTGAGACCAAGTTCCCCGGTAGACAGTGCCTCCCGAGGGAACTGTAAATTCCAAACACACCTGACGTCTCTGCTGCCTGCCTTCCGGACGGAATGCCCCTGTGAGACATCAGCCTCAGCTGCTGTTCAACTATATGGAAATCTCATCTCTGGATACGCAGAGGATCCTAACACCAAGCCTTTCTAAGCCAAGCTCAGCCTGGGCAGATCCAGTTCTCTCTACAGCAAGTCTTAGGATGGCCATATGTCATTAAAAGTAACGTTTCCTCCCCCATGAGCGAAATATTTTGCCCCACCCCGTTCCTTTAGAGGATGAAGCTTTTTTATTATAATTGTACTATTTTCTTGTCTAAACTTCCTCAGATTAATCGTCAACCATTTTATTTTTAATAACCTTTTGATTTTTATTTTATAAATCTACTTTATGGAAATTCAGCATAGGAATTTGGTTGGGTACATTTAGATACGTTTATCTGCTGTTTGATACAGAACTACAGAAGGTTTTCTTTCAACAAATTGCTCAGATACATACCCCAGATGCCAGCCAACATTTTCCTGAATTCTTAGCAATATTCAAATACGTGGAAACACCAGGAAGTGCTTAGTATTGAACACTGGGAAACACAACTGATTAAGAAAAGAACCACAGACTGAAGCCCCAGGATGCAAAGTATGGAAAGAAATACTCGCAATGTACATCACCATAAAAATGGATCTTTCTATATTTTTTACCCAAGTGAAAATGATGGCATATAATTCAAGTTCTGCCTTTGCTCTTCGGTGGAACTGACTATAGCAATTAAGAGTTCTGCCTTTTAGAACGCCTCAGGCATCACTTTAAAAATTGGCAGTAAGGTCCAGAACATTTGATTTTAACATATCTAATTCTTGCTTGGTGGTCCAGTGACCGACAGCTCCCATGAAAACATGTTTCAGCTGAGGTGGTGGAAACCTTTCATTCCCTTTGGTCCCTCTCTAAATGGGAGAGGGAAACTGATGCATTAAACTCTGGGGTGATGACACATGGATTTGACTGCAAAACATTCCAGCCCCTACCTAGTGAATCAGCTCTGGCCGCGTGTGGCTCAAAGTCAGTTTGGAGCGCAGTAGAACACTGATACCAAAAGTAAGGTGAAAATAATGAATTGAAATTCATAGAGAAAAAAGTCAACCTATGTATTCTGGTAGTACATAAATCCAGCTTTCCAAAGGAAGAAGATTATCCAGATAATCCACCCAACTAAGTTGGGACAGTGTTATAACTAAAAACATGGTCTTTGATTTTGGAGAAATATTTCTAGTATTTCCATAGAAGAATAAATGCTGTTTTGTGTGTAACTCTTGCTCTGACTCTCAAAATCAAATTTTTAAAAATTTAGGAAACTCAATATGACTTTTTTTCTTAAAATTTACCATATGAGATGCCTGGAAGAAAAATATTAAACATTTGAAGGCAAGTTTTCTAAAACTTGAGCCTTAATTTTATGTGCCGAGAAAGAGAAAGTTTAATGTTAAATTTTCTCCCATATATTTTGAGTTACTTTTTTTTGAGGTTTACTTTAAAAAGCAGTTAATTGCTTTGGACCTATTTCTTGACATTGTGATTTTAAAAATGGATTGTGGTTAGGTATATTCTATTGTTCTCTAGAGCAATATTATAACTGGGAGCTGTCAAAGTAAAAGTATCCCAGTAAATCTCTGCTGGAACCAACAGCATGTTGTATACCAGTAGTATTGTCCAATTTCGCTAGAACAGTAATACTACACTCATAATCCTACAGCCTTACATATAAATATGCTGTTTGACTTATTACATAAGAAACTTCAATTGTGTGCAAAGTATCAAACTCCAGCTAACGTGTCATATCCAAAACTTGACCTCAGTTGAAAGTGCTGAACTACAAGAAACATCAGTGAAGTGTGTAATTAGCAGCTCCTTTTGCTTGAGAGAGTCAGGGTCTTTGTGTTTACACTGCTGCTTCTCAGACATTGTTTTCAGCTGCAAGCTTCCTCCTACCCACCATCCCAAATACAGAGTGACAGAGGTGCTTCCTCTATTACTGTCTTTCTTCTACCATTTATTGTTTTTTAACAGTACAGGATTTTAAAATATACCTGCCCGCTTTAAATTACAATGTAAGGTAACATTAGCCTCCCCTGTTGCTATGGGGAAATGTACAAGTAGACTGGTATTTTTAATGCATCTTGAAATCCTTCCATGTTGGAAATCCATGATTGATACTTGGAAGTATAAACTAGTAATGAACTCTACTGAGAGTATGGTTTTCTGTTTCTTTGATGTTGAAAGGATGGACTCAAAGTCTAGAATTTTTGAAAGAAGCCCTAGAGTTTCCAACTGTGGTATATTATACTCTGCTAAATATAGTGTAAGTGCTCACTCTCTCCATCCGCACTTGTTATCCAGTGTGGCGTAGCATAGAAGGAAGACAGATGCCTTACTGTTTACCTGTGTTCTCTAAGACAGCTGTCCAGGGTAGGAGGTGGTTTTCAATTTCATGCAAGGGGGTCATACGCTAATAGAAATCCCAGAGGTTACTTGTTTGGAGATGCTTCTCAAAGTTTTAGCTTTGTCCCAGGGTCTGGTGGGTAAAGGCAGGTAAGGCGATAGCACAGCAGTCCACATATGGAACCTGTGGACAGAGGAAATGAGCTGTCGAAGAGCAAGCTCCTGGCCCTCTTTGGAGACTTTGACTCAGGAGGCTGCTCGCAGGGTTCTTGGCAGACCAAGAAGTATCCAAGTCTAAAGTTGCTTTGGGACCTTCATGGACAGGTGATAAGTTTCTGGACTCGGTTCAGGTATTTTATGTTTTACAAAGGGCAGAGAGAATCCCGGTTGCAAACCTCATGTGTATTTAATACCGGTATAAATGGAGAAATGTGTTAGATTGGTGCAAGTGGGAGTTCTTCAGACTGTTACTACTCTTTGCACGTTTGAACAATATCAACAACTTAGACCACCAGAAATGTGTGTCCTTAGCCTTCGGCGTTTCGAGTAATTACTGCTCGGGCCATTCATGACCTGTTTGCCACTTCGGAATTACAATAGATGCCAATTTCCACAGGGAAGGTAATTCATACATTGATGATGTAGTATTCTACCTTTTGGTTTTGTCTGTTTGGTTGGTTTTTAGCAGTGGAATAAGGTGGGCTTCTAGACTGTCTCCAGGAGAATACTCCTTTTTTGCCATCTTGTTTGTTTTTGAAGGGGAGGACGGGGCCGGACAGTACCACACAGTGGGATCACAGGGGCCAGAAAGGGAAGAACTTCCAGGTCATTCAGGTTCTCTCCATGATTCTGTGATCTGTCAACCGCTTCTGCCCCTGGATCTTTGGGTGGGTCTAGACCTTGGGTACATGTCAAGCACATTTTCTTTTTCCAGATAATTTAGAATTAGAAGCGTTGGTTTAATTTTTTATTTCCCCCAAACCATTTTTATCCTGAGTAACGTTCCTCTAGCAGAACCACAGTTGAGACACCACATGTAGCTGTGGTGGCCCTGTCATTTGGATACCTGTCTTGATCTAAAGTTTTACACCAACCAACCAGACAGCCTGAATGGTAGGAGCTGTCATTGGCTACAATAAGTAACTCTCAGGAAGTGTTTACTTTCCGAAGTCCATTGCTGCTTAAGAACTGATGGCATTTTGTGTAATCTGTCCCTCTTTGCACCAGAGTGCAGTAAGTATGACCCGTGTGCAGTGCCAGTCTGTCGCATGCGCCTGTGCTAATGGCTTCGCCAGCTGTGTGGGTTTTGCAGTCCATGATTGTTGATTAACTGTGTGGACATGAAGTACAGAATTCACAGAGGAATTTTAAAAGGTTGGCAGCAAATTTAATTTAGTGCTAACTTACTCCTAAAAGTTGTGCTGTGCTTGTGAAGTTTTGACTCTGGTTTCAGATGTGCTTGTGTGTGTTTCTCAGTCCTGTTCGGGAGCTGTACTGAAGGATGTCCCCAGCCACATGCTGTGTGCCCTCCATTTGCCCCCTTAGTGACGGTGGAAGATTTAGCATAATTATTCTGAAATAGCTTCATGAACACAGATTGCAAATAACAGAAAAGATTGGCTCCATGTCTTTGCTTTCCAAAACAAAGATCTGTTCTGATAAGCCACTAAAATTTTAAATTTTATATGCTTTTCATTCGTGATAGTACTATTATATAGGAACATATTTTTCCAGACCAAGAGAGCTAGGCTTTCTCATCTATGAAATGGCTTTAGCCTGGGTATAATAAGTCATCTGCACCATAATGACTTCACTTTCCAAAATGATTTGCTCTGGGGATCGGGGCACAAGGTTTTAGGTAGTCCGCTTGTGTCATTTATGGCGTAGATTAATGTTCCCTCTGATCCACTCATGGCTGAGGGTTACAGTCTCTAACTGACTTCCAAGAAAGAATATGCTCAGAGGCTGCACTGTAAGTATCATTTGAAAATTTGTCCGGGCTAGGACCAAAGTTGATTTTAAAAGATCAGCTTTCAAAAACTTCTGTGACTTTTTTTCCTGTTGTTATTTTTGGAGCGACGTGAAGGACCATAGTCCCACGTTTTCATAAGCAGCAGTGCCACCATTCCATAGGAACCTTCCTCAATTAATCTTTAGACCAGGCTGGCCGCCACCATGGGAGAAGTCCAGTTCACCTGGGTAGAGTCTTTGTGTCCCTTGACTCCCGTGGATACCATCGCTTGGCAAGGAGGACAGAGAGGTAGAAATGACAGAGCTTAGTCCCTGGAAACTGTGTTCCAGTAAATGCATTCACTCAACAGATAGGTAATTTGTGCCTTCAATTTGTGCTGCCCCGCAGTCCATTAAGCCCTGCAACCACTCAGCCATGACTTAGGCGTGAGGCTTGCATGTGAGAATCCACTCACGATCACCAGTAGGAGGGAGAAACTGCTCAGACTCTAAGATGAAGTGTGGGCCTGCCGAGAAGAGAGAGACCATTTGTAGCTAGGGAGATGATTTTGGCGCTTGTGTTTCCTTGGGTGTCTTTGGTAGGAACTTCATTCATGCCTGCTCCAGGGCATATTGAGTACCTGGCAGGCACTGTGCAAGGAGGAGAAGCCAGTGAGCAGGGGGGTGTGGTCTGCCCCGGGTCCTGAGGGATGTAATCTTAATTACATGGAGCAAGAAACTAAGCAGTACAAGTGAGACACAAGTGTGTGCGCACACCGTACACTCGCTTATGTTCTTATAATATGATCGGGAAGGGCAGGCATGCCAGGGGTCAACACACGCAGGGCTTGTGTCCCGCTGAGCGACACCCCAGCCCCGTGCAGCATGGTTCTGTAGAATGGCCAGGGTGTCAGCGTGAGGGATCTGACCCTGGGTGGGGAGAACGAGACCAGGTCAGGAGGACCAAGGGAGACTCAGAAGTTGGCGACAGACTGGGAATCTCCGTGTCTTTACTGGTCCTTCAGGGGACTTGTTTTTCTTTAAACCACAAGTGGCTGTTCCTTTGTCAACTAAAAGTCTTCGCCTTTGCGATCTCACATCGTTGGTGTAGGTGTCGTTTGTTCACTTCCTTCTGAAGCCTCTGTGTCCCACATGCCTGCCTGTGCCTAGCATCCGCCCCTGGAGCTGTGTGCTGATGCTCAGCTCAGTCTGAAAGACACTGTGTGGTGTGTTTCATGGGCTGAGGTGTCTTAGTGTCACTGCTAGGGAGATCTAGGACATGGTTTATGAGGCTTTTTTTCACTCTGTCCATACAGGACAACAGCTTCGAGCAGTTCATTATCAATTATTGTAACGAAAAGCTGCAACAGATCTTCATTGAGCTTACTCTGAAAGAAGAGCAGGAAGAGTACATACGGGAGGTAACGTTGAAATGCTTCTTAAACGTATTGCTTGTTTTTTACTGTCTGATTTCCGGATTCCAAAGGCTATGTCTAACCTTGAGCCTGGCATCAGATTCATCTAAGCTGAGTCATGTTGTACCTCCTAAAAATTTGTTCAGTGTGTTTAATTTAGATGTCTATAATAACTGAGTTTTTTTTAGTACTGTGCTACCAGTGCCTACAACAATCTCAGACACATAGTGGGTGAGGAATAAGTATCGGGTGAGGGCTTCTAGTTTCCTTGGATTCTGGGGTAATGATGTAGAATAGTAGTGTGTTAAGAAAATAGTCAAAGATAAATGGACAGATGCTTGGGACATCCATGCAATGGACTACTACTGTGCCATAAAAAGGAATGAGTAGTTGATATACCACATAGCATGAATGATTCTAAGTAGATTATGTTGGTGAGAGAAGCCAGGCTCAGCAGGCTGCATACTGAACGATTCCATCTGTATGCCATCCCTAGCTAGAGAGAGAGATTATGTGTGGAGAGCAGCAGATTTGTGATTGTCAGGGTGTAAGAATCGGGCGGGGGGGGCGTTGGGGAAATGATAGGGATGATCACGTGACACTTGAGAACTGTATACCACAAAAGTCACTGTCACCATGAGTAGATTCAATAGCATTTTGAGAGTCAATCTTGAAAATCTTGATTTGGGGACAGGAATTTAGCTCAGTGGCACAGCACCTGCCTGGCAGTCTTGAGGTCTGGAGTTTGATTTCCGGTACCTGCCCCCACCAAAAGAAAATCTTGATTTTCAAATTTATAATAAAATAAGTAATTTGCTGAGTGGTTCCTACATACCAGCTATTGCGTTAAGGGCTATGTGTGGATTATCTCGTTTAATAAAGTTTTATAATACTAGAAGTAATGTTCGCAAAGTTCTTTCATCTTTAATTCTGTAATACATCATTGGTTTTCACACTCTCATTTTGTAATAGCCATTTTTTCTAAGTGAAATTACTTTAGAAAATCAAAAACAGAAATTATTTCACATGGCCTATATCTTTCTTTCCTTTTTGTTTTTAAAATACCTTAGTAATGTTATTATATATTTTCCTTTATTTTCTATAGTGTGATTTTAGGCTATTGAAGACATGGAATCCTTTTTTATAATCGCTTAATGTAGATTTTTCTATGGTGACTATTAATCTTCAGTGACTTAGTAAACAGCTTCTTTACTCTTAAGCTGAATTGTAAATATTTCAGCTTGGGTTTAGAATGGTCATGATGCTTTAGAAATGTTGTACACTTGTCCACCATCTTTGGTGACATAGTCTAAAAGTAAGAGTCATGCACTTCTTCTCATGATGAAGAGAATACCAGAACTTGGATGTGCAACTGAAAACAGTTTGTACAGTTTGTCTAAAACACTTCTGAAAGTATAGCGGAAGATCCCTGGCTTGCTGTATGAATTACATTTTTCCCTTTAGAAGAAAAATAAATATTTACGCTTATGGATGAAGTGTAAGCAGATGCAGAATGATTGCATTTGGCCTGGCGGATATGGCTTTGCGGCTAACATTTGAGCCAAGAGATAGATTTCATGCCTTTCCTTGTGGTGAACCTACTTTGTCTTAGCATTGGGCTTTTTTCTTTTTCTTTTATACTTGAAATAGGTAACTGCCCTGCAATTTAGGATTGACTCTAAAATTAATTTTTTGTTTGTGATGACAAATAAAGAACTGAAAAATCTAGGCCTTAGATTCCTGGGATCGAGTTCTGCCTTATTTCCTTATCAACACTGTAAATGTACACAGGGTAATACAGACCCAAGGGCCTGTTGAGTGAGTGTCTGGCCCGGAGCCAAGAGCTTGCATGGGAAATGGCCAGGGAGGGGAGAGAGGGAGGCCCCCCCCCCCGAACAAGTCCAGGGGGAGCGCTTAGGCTTCATGGTGGTGGGCACTGCCTTAAGGAATTTTTGGGAACTGGAAGATATATGCAGCACCAATTCTATAAAGAAAAGCAATTTGGAAAGAAAGTAAAATTTGGTGAGATGAGCAAAGGATGGTTGGATGGTAGAGTTGTGTCGTCACCATACAGATTTTGACTTTGTTCTGTTTCATTCTTTAGGGCATCGAATGGACTCACATCGACTACTTCAATAATGCTATCATTTGTGACCTAATAGAAAATGTGAGTACCTAAGTACCATTTTCTAAAGAAGCTTTTAGTAATATAGTACACTGCGTAGAATCATAGATGCTTTTGATGGTGAGCACTCGGATTTTCACTGTTTTACACTTTTCTGTAAGGAACTACAGAGTTTGGGAGACTGCACTGCACCCGAGAGGCCTCACGACTGTGACACCTAGACAGCGGGACCTTTTGCTCCTTAGCCAGGCTCCTGCAGGCTCGTCCTGTTGGCCCTGTCATGGTCTTTCTTGACCTCCAGGCACTAGACCATCAGTCCCCCAGCCTTTCTGCTGTGGGCAGCCCAGGTCCCATCTGTGGCTTCTGGGAATAAAGAGTCCTGCCCTGCCCGGAGCTGGCGGGGAGCAGCCATCAGTGTACTGCAAATCAAAGTGTCCATCTCGTTTCTAAAACCCTAGTGAACCTTTGGCATACTGTTGCAGCTAAGATAAGGGGGAAGAGGGTACAGACTCTGGAGCTGAATTAAATGAGTCAGGTATAGACCTAGCAGTGATCAGAGGGAATGTATGCAGGAGGGTAATATACATGTGGCCACAGGAAGCCAAGGACTCTTGCATTTTTCGAATGGCCTGAGTGTGTGTATAAAAGCTTATGAAAGTATGAAAAACTATTGGGTGATTTTAAGAATCTAAGATTTTTGTTTTCAAATCATATCCTTTAGTTTATTGTAAATGGATTATTTGTAAGAAGACCTACTAGTGTGTGAAAACAGGAAGGTCTTTTGTTCTATGCCTAGGATTACTCATACTCTTGACCTTGATGAGTAATTTGAGACAGTGTATAAACTTTATTTTCCTATATTCTGTAGCTGTCAGGGTAGGTGAGTGCTGTGTTTTACAAATACAGGGTCTGAATTTATGGCAAATCATTTTCTGTTCATCTTCAATAAGCCTTTTTGGAAATTTTCTGATTAAGCAGGGTTTTTTCCCCCCAATATTCAGGATAATCCTAAACTTAAAAGAATAGCCTTGAAAGCTGCATCTTTGATTAAATGAAACACTGCATTCTAAAGCATCGCCACTTTTCAGTAAGAAGTCAACTTTGTTTTGAAAAGTCTGGCCACCGTTAGAATGGGAACACTAGTAGACCACATAAAGAATTCAAAGCTCTAAGCTAAAATCCATTTTTAAAAAAATCTGAAAATTTTTTCTAGCAAATTCTGTGAGGTCTTCTTTTGTGGGAACTCTTAGCTTTCAGAATTCCCAACTAGCACATTTTTTTTCATAAACATAAATAACATGGCACTTAATGACTTCCCTTAAGAAGTGGGGAGTGTGATGCATTTAATTTAGGTACGTCATCTCAGCCAAAACCCCCCTTCCATACGTGATTGCAGAGAAACTCACGTTCACACAAGAACCTGGGTACGTAAAGGAAATGCTTCCTTCCAGCGCCGTGAAACAGTAGCGTTTATTCTGGGCATGTTATGAATGTCCTTGATTCCTCAGAGTGCACACTTCCCCTGGGTTTTGTGTGGAATTAGTGAGTGCTGGTCAGAGGAGGTCAGGGCATTGTGAGGAAAGGGAAGAGGAGCAGAGGCCTCTGCCCTAGGGGAAGTGGGTGGGGTTGGTGGTAAGGGAGTGGATTATGTTTAGAATTAAGATTCAGGGGTCTGCAGGGGCAGCCTAAGGGACAGCAGCGTTTATTAAGACAAGGTGATTTTTGAATTCTGATTTTTCTTTAGGGCCATGTGCTTTTGCCATAAATACCACAGGGTCTGAATATATAACAAGTAAATTTTTACCCATGGTTCATATCCATTTGAAAATTTTATATGAAAGAAGAATTTTATTCTGAACATATTCTTGAGAACAGCATGACTACAATGATCATTAAAAGCAACATCCCAAATCACAGCGTTTTTATTTTATTTAAACTTTGTTTATTGCCACTGAACACTCAACTATATTTCGAACTCATGAAGAGTTTGGAAACATGGGAAACGGGTTTCTTCATGGCTGTGAATAAAAATAATGGCCTTAACTTTGCTTTGTGATATGTGCTGTGGTATAGAGAACATGCCATCCATTGCTTTTAGACTTGTATTTGATCTTCAGCTAAGAGTGTGGAGGTCAGCTCTAGTGAAGTGGCTGCAGTGACTCCCTGCCCATTCTGATACCAGGCAGACCCCTCCCCACACAGCTGGCCCTCTTTGGAAAGGCTGATTTCTGTGGCTTGTGTGATTTGTTTGGATTTTCTGCTTTTTGTGATAACTGCACAGAATTTTCTTGTGACCGTGGTTGATTGTGCAAGATGGAGTAAATAAGAGTAATTATTCAAACAATGCAATGAGGAAGGAAGGAAACCTTCTATTTCCCTTCTCCTAGAACACAAATGGAATCCTGGCCATGCTGGATGAAGAGTGCCTAAGGCCCGGCACAGTCACTGACGAGACCTTCTTAGAAAAGCTGAACCAAGTGTGCGCTACCCACCAGCACTTCGAGAGCAGGATGAGCAAGTGCTCACGGTTCCTCAACGACACGTCCCTGCCCCACAGCTGCTTCCGGATCCAGCACTACGCGGGCAAGGTGGGCAGAAGCTAGAACGCTGCCAGGCTATCCCACGAGGGGAGGGTTCTCCCACATTCTCGGGCTGGGAAGGACAAGCAGATCCATACGTGTTGCACAGAAATCAGATCTGGACCATGTAGAGCCAAGTCTTGTCAATGCAGAGAACTGGAAGCAAAGCTAGTACAGTAGACCTAATGAGCATTTCCAGCAAATTTTAAGCACGAGGTGTAAAGTATCCTACGGAAGTACGCATCGACACCTAATAAAGGGGATTTACCGTGAAAAATCAGAAATCACAGAAGGTCTCCAGTAAAGTTTTAAAATATAATCCACTTAACAAAAAATAATGATTTCTTTGAGATTTTGAAGACACTGGGGACAGTATCTAGTTTTTGTACATATTTGGTTAGTATTTAAAGCAATTTATGTCATTTAAAATATAACAATAATGTTAAAAAGAATTTTTATACTAGATTAACTTTGAGAATCTTAGCGTATTCAGTAGTGTTAATACCTTTATGATAATTAAGGTCATAGCAAGATTGCAAACTTCAAAAGGGAAAATGTTAATTATATATTTAATAAAAATTAGATATATAATATTTGAATGACCTTTCATTTCAACTTTGGTGCTTTGTTTTCTTCATTTCCCTGCGTTAAAAGGTCTGTTTCTGGCCAGTTTTTCTGCTGCTTTAAGATGTCTGTGAAAACATTACTATTATCTCTTTTTTCCCTCATCTACTTTTAAACAGACCAGAATTGTCCCATGAACTGCAAAATAAACATGAAACCTCAAAATATGGTCAAACACCAAAAAAAAAACCCAAAAATCTTTTGAAAATGTAGCATTTTTCAAGTTTGTCCCTGTAACTCCTGATGGGTAGTAGAATTTATTTGGATCTTTGCTGCAGCTTAGACAGATGGAACTTACACTTGAAGGTACGTCTGGCTTTTAAGCATGAGTAGCATGCTGGGGATTTTGTGACAGGGAAGGCAGCAGCGGAAGTGTAGATGCTTCTGGAGTGTTCTTCGCCTGAGTGACGCTGTTGTATGCAGTGTGCCGGGCATTGAGTTCGTGTGCTGCTCGCAGGTGCTGTACCAGGTGGAAGGATTTGTTGACAAGAACAATGACCTTCTCTACCGAGACCTGTCCCAAGCCATGTGGAAGGCCAGCCACGCCCTCATCAAGTCTTTGTTCCCTGAAGGGAATCCTGCCAAGATCAACCTGAAAAGACCCCCGACAGCAGGGTCACAGTTCAAGGCTTCTGTGGCCACCCTGATGAAAAACCTACAGACCAAGAACCCGAACTATATCAGGTATTTCTGGCATTTAAAATGCAAATATGAGAGCATTCGTAAGGAATGTCGTTTTCCTGTTTGCTCAGATCTTGAGTGTAACCCAAGAGAGGATAAGTGAAGGAGCCACAGATCAAATAATATGATACCCGGAGCTGGCTTGAAAACACTTCACTATCTTTCTCTTCTCCAATAAGGAAGGGAAAAAGTGCAGTGAGGATGATGAGAGATAGAGACTTCATGAAGCTAAGTGGTTGGCACAGAGAGATTCTCGACTTTCTGTATGCTTAATGGTTTTTAAATGGCAAATTAGGAGATGAAATACAGAATGTTTTCCTGGTCAGAGTTTTGCAGAAAACTCTTCTGCTGATGTCATTTTGAATTCCTACAATATTGACTAAGAGCGGAGGAGCTGCAGTTGCAGTTCTGGTGTTGGTGAGGAAATCGACCCCTTTCTGGGGAGAGTTGTGAGCCAGGAGTACGTAATGAGTCCTAAAACAACCTTGAATGTTTTCAAGGCAGTAGAAAGGACTTCTTAGAAACCACTAGCCTCTTTTTCCAGTTCTTGGGTCTTCTTAGACGTCACTGTATCAAGACTCAGGAGAGGCCCACTGGAACTTGCATTTGCTGTAGGAGACTTGCGGGACCTAGACAAGAAGCTGCGCTCACTGCAAGCTCAGATTTCCTGAGAGCATCCACACCCTTGCTCACACCCACAGACATGAAAGCTGTTAAGAGGAAATGTCTGTGTGTTTGGCTGGCTTTCCTTTCTATGAATAGAAATATAACTAGGCACAATGTCTTAGTTTGGTTGCCATTAGCTGAGAACATACGTTAGGGGAAAATGAACTTTCTACAAAAAGTAACCAGGAAATGGTCTGTGATCGGTTGCTTTTGTTGTTCTCAAGTGAGTGGATTTTTGGATTTTTAATGCTCTTTTATTGAGGTATCCTTGATAGCAAGTGATACGCAGACCCTAGGGGAAGACTTTAAGTTTTTAACCATTACATGCACTTTGATAGCCACACAGGTCAAAACATAAAACATTTCCATCCATCAGACAGTTCTCTGATCTCCCTCCATACTATTGGTATTTACATCTTCTGTAAAAACTCTTAATAAACCTCAAGGTTATAAATATATTATGTTTTCTTCATGGATCTTTATAGTTTCAGATCTCATATTTATGTTTACTTTTCCCCATATAGATATTCTATTTGCCTTGCACCAGACATTAAGAGGAAAAGAAAATCTCTATTTTCTAGCCAATTGCCCCAGTGCCTTTATTGGTAATCAGTTGAGTGTATGTATAGGGCTGTAGGTCTGAACTTACTAGGCTATTCCATTTATCAATTTGTCTATCCTTACTTAAGCCAAAGAGTAAATATAATATTTATAAATGGTAAAAGGAAAAGCATAAAAACACCAAGGGAAAACTACTTAGGCAGCCATCATCATGAATTTTTAACAACTGTTATTTAGGTCACAGGAATTGCTGCAATATATTCATAAATTAATAGTGGCTTAAAAAGGACAGGGCCAGCCTTCATTTCTTATTCCTCACCTCCATGGTCAAAGATGACTGTTCACCCTGTCTGCAGTACTAACTAGCTCCACTAGAAGACGACAGCAAGTCCCTTCCTTTTAAAGATAAACACCAGAAGCAGCATCATTACTTTTAATCGTAGTGGCCAGAATTGGGTCACATGGCCATCCATACTGGCAAAGGATGCTGGGAACATAGTCTTTCCCAAGGCTGTGAAGTGCCATGTTAAAGGAAGGATAGAAAGAGAAAACAGTATACCTTATCTTGTGGTTGAAGTGCAGCAAACATTCAGCAAAGCGCATGAGTCTTTTAACTGTATAGCTTGTTGGCTTTTTACATATGCTGCACATTTTACTCCCCATTGAGAACAAAACAGGAAACATTTGTATCATCCCAGAAGGTTCTTGTTCCCCTCCTACCAGAGATCACAGCAGTGCTGCTTTGGATGAGTTTTGCTTGAACATCAGATGCATGGAATTACCCAGCATGCACGCAGTGTCTGGTCAGACTGCTTTTGCTCCAGAATGCCAGTGATATCCATCCACACCACTGAGCATATAAGTAGTGTGTGCCTTTTAATTACTGGTACTTACTTAATTATAAAATTTCTACAAATAATTAAAAAATGAAAGAAATGACTAGGTTCCCCAGGAATAACAATTCTTTTACTACAAAATGAGTAGACATAGGACTTAGAAACATGCTACAGCTATATCCACAGAGACAGAACTTAAGACCACAAATATTTGAAATTTTCTAGATGTATCAAGCCGAATGATAAAAAGGCAGCGCACATCTTCACCGAGGGCCTGGTGTGTCATCAGATCCGGTACCTGGGTCTCCTGGAGAATGTGCGGGTGAGGCGGGCAGGCTATGCATTCCGGCAGGCCTATGAACCTTGCCTAGAAAGATACAAGATGCTTTGCAAGCAAACGTGGCCTCATTGGAAGGGACCAGCAAGGTAAGTTCGCTGAATGTATGTAATAATTTTTAAAGTATGCAAATAATACCCCCCATAGGCTCTTAGGCAAAACAGTTCAATGAAGACTTGGTGCTACCCTCTGTTTTGGACCTCTTGCAGCTGGATACCATTTTGGCTAATTTTTGACTCATTAAAGAAGTTCTGACTTTCTCTGAGGTTAAAACAGGACCATCACATCCACGCTTGGAGTTTACATAGGGGTAAATTTTAAATGATGGCTGTGGTAAGTTTGTAGGAGGTGATGTATGCTGGAGAGTGAGATGCATCTCAGATCTCCATTGTCAGCTTTTCACTTTTACCATGGGGAGTGTCTGTCGGGGGCAGGCCCACTCTTTGCCTTCACATGCCCCATTGAGAATGGGTAGCAGAAGCAGGGGGGCCCTTGTCTCAGCGTTGTTGCTGGTCAAGCTGGATGGGAGAATGTGCCTTGATCCAGGGAGAGTATGGCAGTTAGCTGGTCTACCAGGAACTGTGCTCACCCATCCAGACAGATCGCTGGACCCTACAGGTTGCCCCTTGGAGCGTCCCCGTGGCCTGCAAGCTCTTCCCCGGCAGAGGGAAGCCGTGTGCCCGGCACTCGCAGCAGCAGAGCATTCTGGCCCGGTCTGTGCATGAAGGTTTCTTCTGCCGTCACCAGTCAGAGGCTGCCCCTTCGTGGGCTTCCGGGGTTCTCTCCTGAGTTCTGTGGGAGGAATACCTAGCTAACATGCCTGCTGAGAGGGCAAGCCAGACCTTCAGGGACTGTTGCCTTTCCAACTGCAGGTGCCTTCCGAGCCTCGGTGGACCCAGCCTTTTGTGGATCGTTGACAGTAATTAGAGATGTGTTGTTATGGGAAGATGCAGACACGCAGACATACGGTGTGGCCTCTGATGCCTATTCAGTGCCCACGTAATGTGGAATCTGGGTGCTTTTCAGTTCCCGCTGCTGATTTCTAGAGTATTATTTGTATTTATTCCCTGCTGGCTCCTAGTCCACAGTTTGGTGGAGTGAGGTTAGTTTTAAAAATCCGTACTGGCCAGGCATGGTAGCACACGCCTGTAATCCCAGTACTCAGGAGGCTGAGCTGTGAGTTTGTGGCCAGCCTGGGCTACAAAGTGAGTTCAAGGCCAGCCTGAACTGCATAGCAAAATCCTGTCTGGAAAAGACAGAAAATAAATAAATAAAAATAAAAATGAAAGTATAGGGGCTAGGCCTTGTTCTCACCATAGATGATGGCCCATTGGTTTTTGGGCCTTACCCTGCCTCTGAGGAACAGAAACAATACTTCACTTGTTTTCAGTAATTGGTTGAGTTGATTCAACATTGATCTGAGGTTCTTACTCACTTTTCTGGCCCTGGTTGATTTATCGTTAGGGGTGTGTTTGATGCAAATATATTGTTGATGAAATCAAGAAATAGGTTTTAACACCACATTTTCTTAGATTGTTCTGAACCCTAATTTATTTTTTAGTGTTTATTGGATTTGCTTTAATTTGTGAAATTTCAGTTGATGCTTGAAAATTGTTTGACAGAAGGATGATTACTAAAACAGCAATTGCACTTGGAAATGAAACTTTTTAAGAATATAGGGGAAAAAGTTGTTTAAATATAGAAATATACAGAGAGAACCTACCATCATAATATGAAATAAAACTGTTTTTGTATCTCAGACAAAAAAATTCATTGTCTTTATTTTTATTTCTGTTCTTTTCAGATCTGGTGTGGAGGTTTTGTTTAATGAAGTACAAATTCCCATGGAAGAATATTCCTTTGGCAGATCAAAGATATTTATCCGAAACCCAAGAACGGTACGAAACCAAAACCTTTATACTCTGAACTGAAGTCCCAACTTCTACTGTCCAGTTCTTAAAGGATATTTAACTTTCTGACAGTGCCTGAGATGTTACTTTAAAGGGCACACGCTTGTGTTTATCTGCATGTCCAAGGATAGGGGTACCTCAGGGAGGTAGAAGGACATGTGTATTATTTATGAAACATCAAAATCCTCATCCTGTCAGATTATACAACATTTAACCAATCACAAAGAAATTATCACCACTGTGTAAAAATCTCCCTAATCCATAGCAGTTGGAGGCAAAGTCAGTCCATATTTGTAATATGTTGAGTTATGGAATAGTTTGAGACCACAGCTCTATTTTTAGAGGTAGACGAAGTCACTGAAATGAAAAACTTTAAAATTTACAAAGAACACTTAAATTGTACCTCACAGAATGCCAAAGGAACCTTTTTATAAAGAGGAGATTGGCATACATTACAGTTAGCGTAGCAGTTGATTTGATCACTGGGTACGAAGCTTTGGAGTCATTGGTATTTTGTAATGTTTGCACTGAGCTTCTTAGCCGAACATGTCTGATCTGGGAATGGGAACTCCAAAGCAACTCCAAAATTGGAAACTTTTTTAGCATCATGTCGGGACTCAAAAAAAGTTGCAGATTTTGAGAGCATTTCTGACTTGGAGTCACAGAAGCTCAAACTAAGCTAGTCTGCACCTTGACCAACAGTCCAGTGTAGACCTAAGCTCCGCCCGGGTGTACTCTGATGAGTCCATCTAATGCTTCTTGGTAGTTATTCACCTTAGAAGACCTGAGGAAGCAGCGACTGGAGGACCTGGCCACACTCATTCAGAAGATTTACCGGGGGTGGAAGTGCCGCACGCACTTCCTGCTCATGAAGAAAAGCCAAATTGTGATTGCCGCCTGGTACCGGAGATACTCGGTAAGGATATTGGTCATTCGTGATCTGACCTGACGATGCTAATTTGCTCTCACTAATGTCTCCCAGCAACCTCAGGAGGTGCATGTTCGTGGATACCTTTTGTAGACGTGAGGAGAACGAAGGCAGTGAGCTGTTGACTTGAGTTGCCCAGGCTCACGCAGCTGTAGGTGGCTGAGCTGGGACTTGGGTCCAAGACCCCTTCAGAGCGTGAGTCAAGAATACCACGTTGCTTTGCACACATCTGGAAGCATATAGTGAGAAATTATGTCTTTAATGTGATCATCAGATTAGAGGAACAGAGTCACTTAATCCTTTCATGGTCTTTGGATCAATTTCCCAGAATGACTGGCTCTTCTGCATGGCTTGTAGCAGCGAGGAGGATGGCTTTAATTCCAGAAAGCCAGAGGCGTGTTGTGGTAGAATTCTGGCTTTGGTTAAAGGATTGAATTTTCTTTAGTCCTCACTTAATCTAGGCCTTTTAGCTGTGAGGAAAGATTCAGTGCTAAAGTATATTCAGTAATACATAATTTCTTTGGAGGACTTTTTTTTTACTTCATCATGGATGTTCTATTAGAGGCACACCATGGGTATGAGAGAAGCTTGGATTTTGCCTGTAGCCCAGCCTACACTTTGGTTGTGTTCTTGCAAAATGAATTTTGTTGATCAGAAAAAGAGTACTGCCAAGTGTGTTTCACTCCGTGCTTCTTGACCGCAGAGTGAGTTGGAAAGTGAAATACATTTGTAGTCAAATCTCACTTAGTGTATCCTTTCCCTTTTGGGGGGCTATGGATGAGTTTTGCTATAGGCAGTAATCAAAACATAATTTACTTGGACTTATTCTCATATAATGTAGTACATTTGAATGTATTACACTGTTTCCAAGTTTGGACGTTAATGAAGTACTTCAAAGACTCAACCAAAGAAAATCTGCTTGACCTTATAAGAATATCCCTAGAATTGTTCATTCTAGCAAAAAAAAAAAAAAAAAAAAATGACGACCAGCAGTACAGGTCTTAAAGCGTGAGCCTGGTCGGCCCTGTGAAGGATAAATTCATTGTGCATTCTGCAAAAGCACAGAGGACAGTTGTCACTTGCCCAGTGATACGGCTTCCCTTTTGGATCTGACAGCACCACTCTACCCTTCTGCAGATTCATAGCACTGATTTCTGTTTGCCTGAGAGAGGCAAGACCAACATGTAGCCAGGCCCCACGGAGCCCTTTTTATTGTTCCTTACCTGAAGTCGTTAAGAAACCCCACATTTAAGGGTGTACTGATGCATCTACCTGAAATTCTGCACGTAATTTTGAAACCCCTGCTGTGCCAAGTTCTGGGAAAAGCAAGGGAGACAGAACAACCCAATTCCTAACTTGATGACGTTTATATCTAGTAGGGCACCAGATGCGTCACAGAGATTACAGATTGTTCTGAGTGCTAGGATGGAAATAGAGCTGAGATAAAGAGTAATGAGGAGAGGAGGTGTAACTTAGGTAGGATGGTGAGGACAGCCTTCTGGGAAAGGCCACTTGACAAGGAGGAGGAGGAACAGGCAATGCAAAGAACCAGGGCGGCAAGGACTATTTGTATCCTCTTTGCCACTGGAGAGCTTTTACGTCAGTAGATGGGGGGGAGTCAGCGTATAGCATTAATTCTCAATGGCAAGAGTTAGGAGCAATATTAATGCATAAGGTAGAAACAAGAGACAGCCTGATTTCTAGAGAAGGCATTCACTTTGCTTGAGTGTTGTATCCATTCTGACTGTAAAGCATATACTCAACCAGCTGGCAGGTGTCATACCAGTGATCCTACCAGTGTTCCTACCAGTGATCTGTGTCGTATTTCCTCTCAACTGAATACAACTGAAAATTTCCTGAAGGCCTGTTACCATTTTCAGATTTTTCCACATTTTGTGATATTTTATTGCTTCTTGGGATAAAGTTTAAGTTGAGATATTTTCAAGACATTTAGGACTTAAAGAAAACAGACATACTAAATGGATGCTGGAGTGATGGTTGGATGCATGCTCTCCCGCGTACGTGTTGGGCTATCGTTCTGTGAGGAACCTTAGGATTGTCTGCGCCTCATTTGCTAGCACTGGCCCAGCGAAAGGTCGCAGTCTGTCTCAGGTGCAGGGTTCTCTCGGCTTTTCTTCCTAACATGCCCCGGTCCCTCCATCACCTCTATTTGTGCAGAATGGGCGTTTAGGATCCACCTCAGAGAGCAGGAGCTGGGCGTCCTCATGCTTCCTTGTGCGGGGCCAACAGCGTTTGACTTTAGGGTTGTGATGCTTCCACTGAGGTACCCGTGTTCTGGTGTGTACTCCACACGGAAGGCCGCATGGGCTCGCTCTCCTAGGAACGTGTTCCAGCATCTCCTCTCAGAGGCCTCTGGGCGTGGAGCTTGTTGAGCAAGAGGGTGGCACCTCACGGAGCCTGTGCCCTGCCCACCTGCAAGAGCCCTCCCTGCCCTGAACCCGCCTGTCACGTGGGGCAGGTTTATCATTGACCCTGTTGACGTCTGTCCCCTGCAGGTCCTTGAGGGCAGGGTTAGAGGGTGACTCCTGTTTAGGTCCTCATGGTGCTGTTTCCTCAGGAGCTCCATGTATCCTGTGCATATTCTGTCCAATAGTAGTTTACTGAAACCTTTATCTGATTTCCCAGCGTGAAGAGGAGTACGAAGAACAACCCTAAAAGGGTCTAGGGAGATTAGAGGTGAGCTCAGTGAGCCTCAGAGAGGAATGACACCAGAATGAGATCACACGCAGAGCAGACACGGAAGTCGGTGTGGATCCGCTCGGAACGGGGCGCTCTGTATTATGTGATACACAGAACAGCTGATGATAGCAGTGGGTCCTGAGCCATGTAGGAGTTATATTTAGCATCCTTGATTCACCGTAATCGTTTGGGGCTGTGGATACTTGGGTTTGTTTATGTGCTGGTTTCCAGAAGTGTGGATGGTGAGGGGTCCATTGTGCCGAGCGAGTGAACACCCTCCAGTCCTGCCGTGTCCACAGTGCAGATGTAAACACAGCTGCTAACCTGTCCTCTTCCGTCCTGCAGCAACAGAAGAGGTACCAGCAGATCAAAGCCTCTGCCTTGGTGGTTCAGTCTTACATCCGGGGCTGGAAGGTGAGTTCAGAAGGCGCATGTTTTCCCCGCTTGGGGGGCTGGGGTTTGTCACTAAGGAAGATGTCTTTGGGCTTGCCCTGCAGGGGGTGCTGCTTGTCTCCTGCCCACCCTGTAAATAGTCAGATGGAAAGAATAAATACTGTGGGCTACACAAGCCCCCACCCTGACCATGTCTCGGCTGCTTCCTCCTAACCTGCTTGCTTTTGGAGAGCTTTATGCTCCAAGCAGGAAGTCCTTAAAATAATACTGTACATGACTGCAGTATGCTCTGGCCCCAGCTCGTCCCCAGGCCTGTCTTCCAGTGCCACTTCCATGCCTGAAATCCTGCCAGATCTCAGCACCCCCAGCCTGACAGCTCCGTAATGTTCCCGGGGCCATCCTGGGGGCTGCCTCGTAATGACTGGGAATCCTGAGCTCTGGCCAGGTTTGGTGGTGCAAAGGCGGGGCGTGTCTCAATGCTGACCTGGTTCTGGTTCTTGCTGCCGCAGCTTGGTTCAGGGGTCTGTGAACGACAGCCCACAGCAGCTAACCTGTGGCCTGTTTTCCTACAACCTGCAAGCCCAAAATGCTTTTTTACATTTTTAAACCATTGTTAATAAACAGCAGAAGAAAAGCTCCCGTGATGTGAAAATTACATGAAATACAGAGGCAGTGTCCGGAAATAAAGGTTCATTGGAACGCTGTCGCAGTCACTGATTTCACAGCGTGTCCTTTTGCCTAAGTACTGCAATGACAGAGTCGGGCGGTGCTGATGGTGGCCACGCGCCTGCAAAGCCAAACCTGTTTCCACCCGGCCCCTTGCAAAAGAAGCTTGTGGGCCCTGCTCGGGTCTCCTGCCTACTTTTCTAAGGGGAGATTTTGTGGTGTGGGGTGGACCCAGAAGGGGTAGTCTAGGTCCTCAGGCCAAGTGCCCCTAGAGAGGGGACAGGATGGGCCAGGAGCACAGCTTGACCCTTGCTAGGTGCTGAGCCACCCGAGGTCTTGGTTGTCCCTAACAATTGCCAGAATCATTTGTCCTGAGCATATAGAATACAGGAAACTCCTGCCTGTGGGTGCATCCCCAGCTTTATTCCTGGACTTATGAGCCCCGTGTGCAGGGAGAAGCTCAGCTCTAGGCCTCAGGGTCTGCCTCCAGACCCCTATGAAACTAGTTTCTAGCATTTACCAAAAAGGACCTGCTGCTTTGGGATCAGTGTGGTCACTGCTTTTAGCAATTTTTTTTTAATCTCTTGAGTAACAAGGATAGAGCCCCAGTTAGTGTCCACACAGTGATGATAGGAGACGTCCTGGACGTGGGAGGACCCCTGAGAGCTGTCCCCCTCCGTACCCACCAGCTGGTGGGCCGTTGTGCGTGGGGCTGGCGGCTGCTGTCCTCGTGGGGCTGCCTGTCGCTCTCCAGGGTCTTCGTGGCCCTTCATTTAATCAGGTCTGGGATGGGCAGCTTCAGCTTTGCTTTGCTTTGCTTTAAACTGCTGCTGTTTCACTGGTGCGTGGGTCGGGACGCTCTGAACTGACTCACTTCCTTTCCCTCCCTCCGTTTTCCTCTTGCTTCTTTTCATTCCCCTTTTTTGGGCGATTCTGTCCCATAGGCTCGAAAAATCCTGCGGGAACTGAAGCATCAGAAACGCTGCGAGGAGGCCGCCACGACCATCGCCGCGTACTGGCATGGAACCCAGGTAGGCCGGAGACCCCAGGATCACTGCGGGTCGGGCGTGCCGTGGGCAGGGCCAGGCGCCTCGAGACCGGGGGCAGAAAGCGTTTCTCAGGCTTAAGCTACTGGGCACGCCTTTGCCTCTCACGCTTCTGTCATTTCGGTGTGGGGTGGCGGCACACGCTTTGGCATTTCCCATTTGGTGGTGACTGGTGTCTTTCTTTTTCCTTCTCCACTGGGAAGCAGCAGTAACCTTTCCTGCCTTAAACCTCTCTGTAACTCCTTTTCACGTGCATCACAGGCGCGAAGGGAACTGAGACGGCTGAAGGAGGAGGCTAGGAATAAACATGCTATTGCAGTAATTTGGGCTTACTGGCTTGGATCAAAGGTACTTAATGCACACACCCCTTCACTCCATCCCGTGTCTAGCGAATGTGGGGCAGAATGACCGCAGCACACGGCGGCTCACCCTAGTGCATGATCCCCGCGACCAGGTTCCGGGTGCCTGGACATCAGAGCTGTAGTGTGCGCAGGAAGCTTAGGCATGTGCAGGCCAAAACTAATTGCTTACTAATAAAGCGTTAGTGGAATTGCTGTTTTTGAAAGAACTCTCAAGTAACCTGCATGTTTAGTTCCCCAGCCCCCCGCTGATGTATGTCGGCAGTTTTTTTAGAGGTATCTTTTTGGAGAGGAGCATGCTGGGAATAGGAAGATTTGGGCCTGAATTGGTCTTCTCCAGTACATTGACAATGAAATGCCTGTAATGCATGCCTTAAAAAAAATTAATCCATGAATGAAATTATGTTTTAGACTCACTGTGGCAAACTATTGATTTTTCTAAGCAAAATATTCCATGTGAAGAAAATGATCATCTGTGATTTCACAGCAAACTGTTCATGCAAAGCTAGCTGTAAAGGCAATGGAAGAATCCCAGGAATTTCAGCATCAGCTGTTTGTTTTCAGAAACAAAAGCCTCCTGAAATACTCTCCCTAATCCCCAGGCATAGTCATGGGCTCTGTGAACATTTCACATACCCCAAGGGACAAGATTTTTAGATGTTTTTGTTACTTAGAAAATCAGAGGTTATCTTTGCTAAAAATGCATATTCCAGTTAGAAGTACAAACATCCGGAGTCCTGTGTTTGTAAGTCTACCTTGTCAACGTGTCAGCCCATCTTGGGAGAAGAGTTGAGAAAACTTACTCTGCCTGCACGATGAACTTATTTTGCTCCAAACTGACCAAAGATGTTCATTTGTGTTTTTCTAAAACTCTGGGAAGGACAAACTACTTCCTTTAGTCAACTAAAGGAAATGTCCTAACCAAGAGAGAAGTACTTTTCCGTGATTATTGCTGGCATGATACTGAGTGAGCTTATTCCCCCGTCTCAGTACTATAATGTCTGGAAAAATGAATGTCCATTTCTTCCTCTTAAAATAGCATGCCTAAGATTCATTTTTCCCTAAGAGCAATTTTTAAACCTATAAGTTGTTTCATTTTTTGCGCCTTGTTTCAATCTTTAGTATATTTCACTGTTTGGGACCTGAGCTGAAATTCATTGTTTACAAGTCCTACTTTTAAATTTTTTAGCTGCAAAGAATTTTTTAGTTTTGTCTGGTATTTTGTTTGCACTTCAGGGAAACCTTGGTTCCTTTTCATTTTCCAAGTAGTTGTTCACAAGAGTTGTCTTTTTATCTGACCGAGTGAGAAAAGGTAGAAAGGTTCCAACCCAGGTGCTGTAAGTGTTGCACGCACTTCTAAGGCTTTGGTCCATCCAGACCCCAGAGAATGAGGACAAAGGAGTGAAAAGGGTGAAAGAACAGCAGGGAGAAAAGGAAAAGCCTGGCCCTGAGGGGTGTGGTGGGGTGATTGATTCCTTTGGTGCCACACGAATTGCCCTCCTCCGGAGCAGAATCTCAGTGTGCGGAACGTACAGGCAGCTGCCCCAGCGGGTCACGGACTCCTTGGCAACATTTGTGTACCGTTCCTCTGTCACTCTGAAATCCCTTTCCACAAATTGGCTCTCCTGTGTGGCGGGGTATCTTTTTCTGGTCATTTGTTCTGTCTGCATTGGGCTGTCTCTCTTACTCACTATCTAAAACGTTCTAGGCTCGAAGGGAGTTGAAACACTTGAAGGAGGAGGCTAGGCGTAAGCATGCAGTGGCTGTCATTTGGGCTTACTGGCTTGGACTGAAGGTACTTCCTCCACCCCTCTCCTGTCGGGGCGAGCGCCCCGGATCTAGCCCGGCACTACTAACCTGGAGCAGACTCCTGGGCGCTGCGCGGGGCCTGCACACTTGGGGAAAATGTCACCGGGTCTCATTTTGATTCTTTGGAGAAAAACCCTGCACATGAATATCTTTCTGATTTTAATGTGATTTTAATTTCTTTGGATAGTAGGTTCAAAGTGGTTAGCAGTATGGCATACTTTATCCAAGAAACTTTGTTATTTGCATTCTATTTTATGAGCATGTATATCTTTTGAGTCAAGAGACAAGAGTATAATTCTTGAGCTAAAAGCTGATCTACCATGCACAGTCACCAGCCTGCAGGTGACAGGATTTTTGTTCCCCATTATCAGACTGTTCTCCCCTACTAGTGGGGTCCTGAGTTCAGCTTTCTTGAAAGGGAACATTATTCTCATTGTTCAGAGCATCCATCAAAGGGTTTTGCATCCGTGAATGTACACATTTTCATGGATGAGATGATAGAGCCCAGTGGATTGTTCAGTTAGGTAGAATGTTAATTTCAAATGCCTCGTGATTTGGGTAGGTTCTATTTCAGAGGCATACTTACTACAAGAGTGTAATAAAGATACCCCTGATTAAGTATGCAAATCTGTCTCTGGACTCTGCAAACCCATGATGACCTGCAGACAAGATGAGGATTCGGTCTTCCGGCTACTCAATAACTAATCACCATAATGAATCAGCCACATGTATTGCTTTTGGAGGATAAGTAGACTCCATATCCAGTCTTAGTCGTTTGTACTGTAATCAGTAACATTGAATCTTATTCTAAGTCTTTGGCTATTAACTGAGCAACCTTTGACTCTGAATCGGAAAAACTCTTAAACATATCCCTGGATTCTGCTTTAAACAATGTATATTACCCCTCCATGTGCTCCACCTATAAACTTTTGGGAAACAATCCTTTTTTATTTTACTGAGTATACTAAGTGTAATGTTTCATATAATGAGTTAGGTATGAATTTAATAGATCCTGTGAAGAATTCTAACAAGTTCTACAGTTGCTTTCTTTAGAAGTCAAACTAAACATTTCCCCCATTTTATTCCCATTTCTAATTGGCATTCTAATTTTCATAAAAGGAAGTTGAGTCAGATATTTATTTGTAGAATAATTTTCATCATATGTTTATCTTCAGTTTTCTGAGTTTAATTGCATATGACTTCAACATAGTTCGCATTAGAAGTACACCAGCAAACCTGTAAATCAAATTCATTCTGTTGGTGAGTTAACAGAACTATGATAAAACAGAACTATGATAAACAGAACTGTGATAACTCAAGATAAAAATTTTTTACCCCAGTTCCAATGAGACAGAAATATTTAAATGTATTGCCAATAGCATTATGAAATACAATTCAGCTTCTTTGAAGTCCAGGCATGTAATAATACCTTATTCTCCTTTAAAACTGAGTTACATTGCTATCATTTTGCCCTTTGAAATGATGTAGTTTTTTTTGTTTTTTAAATGAGGACAAAGTACTGTGTCCCTGTTAGGATTCATGGTGCCCATGAGGGGTTCCGTTGTCTATATCACCATGTTGTCAACCAGCTTTTACTAAATGCAGCTGCATTTCAGGAGAGTTTGAAAAAGCGTGCTGCATTGCACTCAATTATGAGATTCAAATAAATGTAGTAGGACTTCTAGTATATGATGTGTAAGGCCACGTTCTCATGGAACATGTCCCACTGTAACTTGTCTGTGACCCTCTGCTGTTACAGATTCAGGAGTCAGCAGCCACTGTTTTTCTTCTCTATGTCCCTTCTGTCCGTCTACGTTAGAGATTTGAAATGCTTCCAAATCTGATAATTCCATGACTAAATGAAATGGTACCTAGAATACGAAAAAGAGGAAAAACTGCCTGTGTGGTATATAGCAATTTAATACTAATCCTCAGGTGTACAGATTGGTTCTCTAGCACAAATGCCCAGAGGGACCGGATGGAGGACATAGACAGGGAAACCAGAAAGTAGAAGTTGGATTAGAGGCCAGGGGACTCGTAGCTTGCAACATGAGTCTGTCTCCCACACCGGCTCCTTGTCCTGTGGGCACAAGGCTCTGCTGCTAGACTTCAGCAAGTTTTAAGAGAAACCTGCAGTCTGAGTTATGCAAAGTTCTTAACTTATACAAAGCATTCATCTATAAACAATTTGGTTAGTAGCTTGCTCCTGTACAACCGCTAATATAGAAAAACTTCGAACATCATTTAAACGCAGAAAATTGGAGACAAAAGAGTAAAGGGACATAATGTCTGAATAGGCAGCTATGGGGGCTGGGGATTTAGCTCAGCAGCACAGCGCCTGCCTGGCAAGCGCAAGGTCGTGAGTTCGATTCCCGGTACCGGAGAAAAACCAAAAAAATAAATGAATTAGGCAGCTATGTTAAGATTTTGCTAAATTCTAACTGGCATTTATACCTGGATGGTAGTAAACATTTGTAATATTTCCTGCTCAACTTCCAAATGTAACTTGTTTCGTTCATTCTTCAAACACATCACTTAGTTACCCTTGTTACACATTTTAAGATTGCAACAGTGTAGCGAGAGAAAGGTATGTGAATTAAAACTACAGGGTTTTTAAGTTCTCTGACAGCATTAGGTATAGAGTTTGGTGGGAGCAGAGACCATGGAAAAATTAGTGCAATTGAATGGAAGATGATGGTAGTTCAAAAGCTTCTTTTAAAATTCTTGTTTTTAACCAATCAGTGCATGATATTAAAGTCCTATCTTCGTGTGCAAGGTTTTAGAAAATTTGCTATAATTCTTCAGACTTTTTTTGCCATTTAAGAAATCAAATTGAAAGGAAAATTACCTTATCTACCTTATGTATATGCTGAAGTCTGTTGTAAGTTATGGCAAGTTTGCAGCATTGCCTGTAAAATATTTCTCATCAAATCATTAGGTTCTTGAAAACTTACCAGTAGTATTAAAAATCAGTTCATTTTGATATCGTAAAAAGAGATGTATCATCACGAACGTGTGCTGGCCACGCTCTAACCATTAATCTGCTTCTTTTCAAGGTGCGTAGGGAGTACAGGAAATTCTTCAGAGCTAACGCCGGAAAGAAAATCTATGAGTTTACCCTGCAGAGAATTGTAAGTCGGCACTTTTTGTGTATGGTTAATTAGCACGATTGGATTAAGTGCTTAGTCACTAACTCAATAAAATGTGACATTTAAAAAAAGTCAGCTACAACTTTTGATATTGATTAAATCATAACGATAACAGGTAGTGACCTTGTTGCTGCCCAGATTTGGGTAGCGTCGTGTTGGAGTTGTTAGTGTCCTGTGTGTGATCCGTAGTGTCTCCCTTATTTGACAGAGGACGTGTTGGGGAAGATGAACCCGTGTGGGCTACTGTCCTGTTGTTGTGCTGCCAGGGCTGGGTTGGCTTGTGGATAGTGGCAGAGGGCGACAGCCCGTGGCTGAGCAGAGCGGGTCCTGCCGTGCCTTCTGCTCTAAGTGGTGTGTGGTGGTGACGGGGCAGGCGCAGACTGCCACCAGCCCAGACTGCCACCTAGAGCCTGTGACTTAAGCGGGTTATCTAAGTTCTGTGGCTCTCACTTGGTCATCTGTAAAATGGGGATAATGTCGCCCTGAGCTCATAGAGCTATTGTGAGCATTCCCATGGAGTGACAGCATAAAAGCTCACGAGGCGCCGGGCACGTACTAAGTAGAGACACTCTGCAGGAAGCGCATCATGAGTCCGGAATGTGTTTAGTGCCCTGCACCACTGCAGTCACAGCTCAGGAACATGGGCTAGCGCAGATATTGTTTGGTGACCATCTCGGTCACATAGGTGACTGGGTACTGCAATCACTGGTATCTCAAGAGAGAGCATTGTTGGACGTGTCATGAGCCCAGGAAAAGATCAGTGTTCAAAGTCTGCTTTCTGCAAATGTGTTGGCTTTGTGTATCATGAAATAAAAACCTCCCGACGCTGATCTGTTGCAAGCAGGGGCTGTCAGCAGAACTCTGCGGTGACAGTCGTCCTCGCACTCTGCTGGCCGCAGGAAAAGCAATCAGCATACCTGGGGACTGGCTTATTTTACTTAATTCTGATTGCCTAAAATTTAAGTGTATATAGCGAGGTACACCGAGAGGCCCCCTGTGGGCTAGGAGAGCTCCGTAGCATTAGCTGATGTTGGCACTGGTCTTGACACGAGCGTTAGTGTTTTCGTTTGGTGGCGTTCAGATTTCCACCGCTGGTGTGAGAGGGGGTGAGAACATTGTACATTTGAAGTTCGATAAATTCTCCTGTACACTGCGCTTTTTTCCCCCATGGAGCATATAAAACAGTATCTCCTCCAGTGTGTTTTCCTCATCCTGGTATTGTCTGTCAAACCCCAAACAGGTGCAAAAATACTTCCTGGAGATGAAAAGTAAGATGCCTTCCTTATCGCCAGTAGACAAGAATTGGCCTTCAAGACCTTACCTATTCTTAGATTCCACTCACAAGGAGCTGAAGAGGATTTTCCACTTGTGGAGGGTAAGAATTGTCGTGCTGTATTTTCCGGAGACTCGCTTTCTCATATAGTACATAGAGTGTCATTTTGAGAGCAGTTATGTAAAATCCTGTGCCTGGAGGGAGTTACTTCTAAAAACCTCATTGGTCATCTATAAAATGGGGATGATAATAGCACTGACCTCAGAGCTGTTGTGAGGGGAAGCTTGGTGTGTGTGTGTGTGTGTGTGTGGTTTGGGGGTTCAATCCCAGGGCCTCACATGCTAGGTTCTGCGTCCCAGGCCTAAAGTGAGGCTTCTCACACGTCCCTCCTTGGCCTCGAAGAGGATGCTTGAGGACCTTGGTGTTGACTGTCTGCAGTGGCGGTGTTCTTTGTGGTCCTCTGTTGCCCACAGTTGACAGGAGGAGCCCTCGGCTGTGCACATTTTCCGTGGCTCCCAATACAAATTTTATTTGCTTGGTTTTTTTCTCTTTCTCTGAAGAAATACTACAGTAAATAGAAACCATAAAATTTGAGCATGTTGAGGTAAGGTAAGTAATTAAATCCTACAAACTGTGTGGGCTTACTTGATCAGATGTGTTGGACACATACATGGATGTGTGTGTGAACACACACTCTTCGATGGACTGGGAGAGGGTCATTAAAGACCATAAGAGACAGACTTCCCTCCACTTGAAGACAGGGAAGCTGGAAGTCTCTTCTGTATTGCCTGCTATGGTAGCTCTGAACCTCATATGAGAGCATAGTGTTTAATTTCGGTGTTCGGACACCCAGGGTACTTGTTGCGGACACTGACGTGATTTGGGTGACTTAGCTGACGTGTGGAATACTAAATATATGTGGCTATCAGATGTGCTCAAAACGATTAATACAAGGATGATCAGGGGCTGTACTTCCGGCAGTCGTTCCTGCCTCTGCCCGACGGTGTGGCCTTCCCAGCATACATCAGAATCGCACTGTGTAGAATGATACTGTTGTCCATCTGTGTGGGAAGCGGTATGGGCAATGTGCAAAACAGTCTCTGAGTTCTGTTCCCCTGAGAGATTCAGCCACCTGTGCACCACTCATGGACACTGTCCTCAGAAGTGACAGCAGGGAGCTGCTAATGCTGGGCACGCTCTCCCCCAGCCTGGGACCCCCACTCTGACTCCTGGACCCGTGCTGGGCACTCAGAGGGCTTTTAGTACTGAAGACAGCTTTCCATGGAGATGGCATTTCTTCATGAAGTCGTCCCCTGGGACAGCTCCTGTGTTCGTCCCTGGCTCCTTCATCCATTTCCTGAGTCAGAGTGAGAGAGACTCCCGCAGGCCCACTGTCCTTGTTCTAGGGTGGTCGTGAGGGATGGGGAGCAGTCTTAGCATACTGCCCCTAGGGTGCGTAATGCGGTACAGTAGGACAGAATAGATGGTGTTGGTGCTAGAAAAGATGAACAGTGTTGTGATGTTTTGGGGTCCTGTGTGTGTGTGTGTGTGTGTGTGTGTGTGTGTGTGTGAAAGTGCGACACTCTGAAGTCTGGCACATCTTTAGGGGCTGACATTCCTTGTGGAACCCTACAGGCAGGGCCCTGGTGTGCTTGGGAGAAACCCCCCAAGTTCTGCAACACCAACAGTAGTTTTCATAACATTTTCCAAGACCACTTTTTTAAAACTCACCAAGAAAATCATTCACAGCCTATTGAATGAGTGTTTTGTACCCTTCCCTCTTACCCTATTTGCCGCTCAAGTGGCCTAGCGTGTTTAAGAATGAATAATGATTTATATTAAGTGATTTTTGTTGTTGTTCCTTTCTATCTCACAGTGTAAAAAATACAGGGACCAGTTCACAGACCAGCGGAAACTTATTTACGAAGAAAAACTAGAAGCCAGTGAACTCTTCAAAGACAAGAAGGCTTTATACCCGTCCAGGTATTATGATTTTTGCTCTGCCCCTAAAGTCAGTATTTTCTTTTTTTTTCTCAGTGCTGTATTTCTAAGTTTTCTCTAGTGGAGTTTGATTTCAGTAGTAGGCGAACAGTGTTTACTTGTGTGGATCATCTTGCGATCAGCTGTAGATGATGAATACCACATAACCACACTGAAGGACTTCCAAAGTGCACTTTAATGAGTTAGATTACAGTTGTTGGTGTTAGTCCATTGGAATTCACTTCAATGCTAAGTAATTGGAAGTCATCTAACATAAACATGTGATAGGCTATTCAGATAAATCTGCAGAATAAATTTCTTTTTTCAGATTTCTCTTTGTAACCTGCTGCAACCATCCTACTAGCCTTCCTGCTGGAACAAATCAGGCCCTAGACGCTCTGTGAGGTCATAAAAAACCGAGACAGTGTGTTCATCTCCGGGAGCTGCGGGGGCCCCAGTCTTTGGGCCTTTTCAGGGTGACACAGTGGCTTTCATAACAGACACTACTCAGAAAGAAAGTGGGAGGGACACGTGAACGATTAGCAAGTAAATTCCACGAAAAAGACTGCTTATCCTAGTACTCACACATACCCTACATTCATCATTTCCCGCACAAACCCTACCCTTTCTTAACCTGCTATTTATGCAAGAATAGGCTGTATAATTTTGAACCAAAATCTTTAAGAGCTTTTAGCCTCTCCTCAAGAATGACTTTGAATTAAAAAAAAAATCCATGCTAAGTATTCACATGTATTTCATAGATTGCCTCAGCCTTCCATGTTTGAAATATTTTAAATTGCACAGCTGGTTGCTGATTTGTCTGTAGGGTGTGGTGTGCACTCCCTGAATGGCGACTAAGTCCATAGTTGTCCCAAATGCCCGCTGTGTGGAGCATATTTACAGACGAAAACTGCCTGTGTGCTTTCTTCAGCTACTAATGTACCTTCTGTGCATTTGTGATGCAGAGAGGAGTAGCTTGTTTTTTCTGTGTGGTGCTGGGGATAGAGCCCTCCTCTGAGCTGCACTCCAGCCCTGGAGAGTAACCTTGAGGAGCGCTCCCTAAAGACAACTCTTCAGAAGCTGGAGGCTACAGAATACGTCTTTGAGGAAACAAACTCAAAAGCTCTTAGCACTTTTTATTATTTAAAACATGCTCGAATATGAACACAAAAAAATTACCTTCAAGCTAAGTGCTTTTCCAGGCTCTCAGTTTGCCGGGTGTTGGCACCTTGCCCCACGCCCCGGGAGGGTGGGATAATTTGCCTCCCGGCCTTTTCCATCTCGGGAGCTGTGAAGCACTTGACCACCTACATGGATTTTTCTCCCTTGTCCCCGCCCACAGCCTAGGCATTTGGAGTTGCATGTGCACATTGCCAGAACTAAATAGCTCAAAATGAAGCTGGTGGACCCCTGCAGGCAGCGAGATGTTTTTTCTTGTTGTCTCTAGGAATTGCCCCAAGAGGGTCACCCTGCAGGCTTAGGAAGATGGCATCTCAGTGACCTGTACACAGTGTGCCCTTTGCCACAAGTAGTTTGAAAGAAAACTGCGCTCAACCTGAATGTGTGCCCCGGCGCCCTTTGTCCATTTAAGGGCCATCCAGGAAGGCGGGCGTGAGTCTCCTAGTGAGCACCCCAGATCCGCTTTACCAGGCCCATTGTTCTGCTTACTCTCGGCAGGAAGGTGCAGTTTTTGTTTGGAGCGGGTGACGGTCCTCATTTCAGCTTTCTTCCTGGACGCATATTGTTGAAAGGTGTTAGTAAACCCTCGGTGGGCAGCTGTTAATTTGGTATTAACAGATTGCAAGAGATGGCCTTTTGCTCTGCAAGAGGCCACATGTTTGAGTGTGGGTGTCTTTGTTAGTGATTTCTATTTGAATTATTCTGTATGAAGATTTTTATCAAAGCCAGACGTACCAAATGCTGTGATCACTTCAGAGATATATAGGTGCAAGTAAAATAGATAAAACAAATTGAGAAAACTTCGCATGGAATTGTGTACATTTGAAACCATTTCTAATGTTCAGGAATGTTTGTTTTTTTTTTTCCTTTAGTGTTGGGCAGCCATTCCAAGGAGCTTACCTGGAAATCAACAAGGACCCTAAGTATAAGAAACTCAAAGATGCCATTGAAGAAAAGATCATCATTGCTGAAGTTGTGAACAAAATTAATCGTGCGAATGGGAAGGTAAAATGCTGACCCTGAAAACTGCCAAGCCCCTTAATCAGTTTAAACCATCATGCTTAGATTTCCTTAGGAGTTTGAGTTTTCTGAGTATTAAAATTTGCCTTTTTTATTTTCAGCGTGCTTTGAAGGAGGCAGTTTCACCTTACCATGAAGCTTAGGAAGAATTTTGTATTTTCTCTGAAATATTTCCAAATTAAAATACGCTGCTTATGTCATTTAGTGTGTTCTCAGTTTATGTAGCTACACATGCTGCTTAAAGAGCCTGGAATAAAATGTACATTTCTGCAAATAACTAACATGTTTTAAGCTCATAAACTATTTTCGGGATATTTTTCATCACTGGTTTCGCGTTTTTTGTTGTGTTATAGAGTACATCCCGGATTTTTCTCTTAACAAATAATAACCTCCTCCTTGCTGACCAAAAGTCTGGACAGATCAAGTCAGAGGTGCCGCTGGTAGACGTGACCAAGGTGTCTATGAGCTCACAGAATGACGGCTTCTTTGCTGTCCACCTCAAGGAGGTAAAAGTTCACCTGTGGGCGTCGGTGTAAGGTTGCTTCATTTGTCCGGCTTCTCACTGATTGAAAAGTGTGCCCGCCTAACTAGTCCTGTTGCCTGATGTCCTTTGTATGAGTTTGCACATTTTGGCAGTGTTGCGCTGTTTATAGCTGTACACTTGGTTTTCAGTAATTCAGTAAGGTTAGTCACTTCTGTTGACCTGCTCTCTCGACTTTTTGAACTAATACCTGAAAATAGCAAAATATTTTAAATCATGTCTCCTGCTGTTCCTTCAGTGTACCAGTTGAACAGATGTTTTCTTACTCATCTTTAATTTGGGTTTTTTTTTTCAAAAGATACAACTACAGTAAACAACTGCCTGGTGATTTTGACCTAAGGAATTTTTTAATGTTGTGTGTTTTAGCTTAGCCAGGACCACTGGCTTCAGTGGGGTGGTTACACACAAGCACAAGACTTGGTGTCATCAACCCTGGTGACTGTGACCACATTATTTAGTTTCCACATGCCAATCCAGTTTTCTCATCTTTCAGAGAGGGAGGGTAGTTGTCCCTGCTTCATAGCATTGCTATGAGAGTCACGTGAGACGCTGTACGTAAGGCACGTAGCATAGCGCCCGTCACATAACACATCATGACTGAATATACAAGTGTTGGCAAATAGTGATGGTATTTAGGGACGTGCATCGGACCGCTAGTCTGCTGTCTGGCTGACTCTAAACAGAAAAACCCCACAGGCTTCCCTTAGCCTGTGTTCCGCACCGTGGCTGCCGAGTCCTCGGACAGTGATTCCCAGCTGCAGTGCCACACTGAACATCTTGGGAACTTGAAGAAAGGCTGGTCTTGGGGCCGCATCCCCAGTGGAGTCAAACCAGACTTTCTCAGGATGGAGCAGGAGCATCCTAATTTTGAAAGTTTCCCCCAGTGGTTCTCGTGGGTAGCTAAGGTTGAGAGCCGCTGCCCAAGGATATTTGTTGAGGTGTTACTGGTTTTTTTTAAACCAAATCAGAGTTTTTTAAACATGCTCTCCAGAGTGAATTGTGTTAGGTCAGGGCTCCTTGGGCCTGAACATACACCCCCAGCACCGGGGGTCTTTGGGGAGTGAGGAGTGGAGTGGCCTTCTCCAAGCTCGGGCGCGGTGGGAGGAGGGCCATGCTGGCCACTGCGCTACTTTGGCGGGATTGGCTCTGATGGGGGTGTCTGGTGTTTCAGTGCCCCCCCCTCCATTCATCATCTGACTTCCGGCCGTGTCCTTTCAGGGCTCCGAAGCAGCTAGCAAAGGAGACTTTCTCTTCAGCAGTGACCACCTGATTGAAATGGCCACCAAGCTATATCGCACAACTCTCAGCCAAACCAAACAGAAGCTCAATATTGAGATTTCCGACGAGTACGTTCCCGTTTCAGCACACTCTTCGCTTCCAGCCGCGTGGTTTCAGCCCAGCTCTGTGATCTTGTGCATGAACATCATGACTTAGGGGGTCACGAGGATGGGTCTAGGGCTCGTGCCGGGTGACGGCCAGACAGTGGGTGACACTGACAGAGTCCCTGCCTCTGGTGCCTGATGTTCCGGTGGAGGAGACAGATATGCACAGAAAATAGGGGAAGGGTCAGGGATACAGCTCAGTGGCATAGCGCTTGCCTGGCAAGCATGAGGTTGAGCTCTATTCCCGGTACCAAAATAATAATAGTAATAATAATAACAATGATAATAATAATAATAATGGAAATGATTTTGGTTAATGTAAAAGCTTGCATAGCCACATTGCTCAGGAAGATTTTCTTTTTCTTATTAAATTTATTGGTACCATTTAGATATACATTATGGCCACATTCATTGTAGGTACATTTAAGCATTTTTCTTTTTTTTTTTTGGTACTAGGAATCGAACTCAGGACCTTGTGCTTACCAGGCAGGTGCTTGCCACTGAGCTATATCCCTGGCCCCTGTAAGACTTTTTTTTGTACTGGGAATTGAACTCACAACCTCATGATGCCAAGCAGGCACTATGCCAATGAGCTATGTCCCCCGCCCCAGATTTTATCGGCATTTTTCAGTCTATACTATTTCCTCTCTTTCTGGAATTCCTTCTGAAGTAAGCCCTTACACAACCCTGTGCACCCTGCCCTCGGGGCTGGGTAGGGTTCATGGTTCCTTCCAACACTAGCGATATTGACCATGTTAGACTTCGGCCTTTAGTGCCCTGGTCCTGAGACTGCTGTTGGGCTAGGTAACTTCTCTTATCATTTTCTTATAAAGACTAAGAATATTAGGAAAAAGATAATGGCAGGTTGGGAGCCAGTTACGGTTTTAAGCCGTTAGAGCTTTAAGCTCCCACCGGTTGAAGTTTTCGTTATTTGGGACGCTGGGTTTGGTGACACCGCCAGTCCCCACTCTTCCTTTGTGGTCTAGATACAGTCCCCCTGGGCCCATGGGCGAAGCAGGCCCGTCTTTGGGCCTCCACATTAATTAATGTCATCCATAAAAGAGAAGAACTCACCCCTACATCTGCACCACACAGAGGACTGCTGTTCTCAAGCACTTCCTGTGCTGCTGTTGTAAGAACGTGGCTCCCGCAGGAGGTTGCCCGCCGCGTGCTGCGAAGCAGTGCTCCCTGGGGGAAATGTAAAGTTCTCTTACTGCAGCCCTTCTCAGGGCTCCTGGAAAGCTTGTTGAGTACTGTGACTCTCCTGGGGGGCCTGGGGACAGTAGCGTGGACAGTGTTTCCCAAATGTGGGCAACCATGGAACCGCTCCAGGGCTGCTAAAGGCCACGTTTGCAGGTCCACAGCCTGTTGAGATTCGTTCCCTTCTGGGCCTAAGAGACCCTGCCCTGTCACACTGCAATGCTAGTTATCAGCTGGTCTGATAAAATAAAACAGCTGGTAGAACCTAGCAAAGCGCCCATGAGTCCCTTTCCCACCACCCCAGGAAGCCCGGGGAGGAAGCTTCCAGGACAGACTCCCTTTCCTAATCCCTGGGGGCTCCTAGGTAGAGGTTATAAACTCCCTTGGGGCACGTTTTATTTATTTATTTACTTATTTATTTTGTCTTTTTTGACACAAGGTCTCCCTATGCAGTTTAGGCTGGCCTTGAGCTCACTTTGTAGCCCAGGCTGGTCTCAAACTCACAACGATCCTCCTGCCTCAGCCTCCCGAGTGCTGGGATGACAGGCGTGCACCACCACACCCGGCAGGGGGCACATTTTCAACAGAAGCTTTCCGTGCCATGGGCAAGGCTGCCTGTGATGTACTTCCGAGCCCTCACCTAGCTCTTGTCAGCTGTGTGTGGAATCACAGGAATAATGTGGCCTCTGTAGTCCTTGAGACTGACGCTGATGTTGCAGAGTTTAGATCCTTGCTGTGGCTGTGGCTATGGGTGATCAGCCGCACGCTTGTGACAGGGACCCGTGCAGGAAACTGCCAGGAACTCAGCACTGGTCCCTGAGACACACAGGGAACACGACATCATGACAGCTTGCTGATGGAGGGAAAGATCGCGGGTTTCTAGTCCAGGTAGGCTGCTCTCCTGCCTCCCCGGAGGGGAGGTCTTGAGATCGGCAACCTCACTTCCCACAGCACCCGGAGGCCGTGAAGGATAATCCTGCGGCAGTCACTGCCACTGCTCTGGGAAAGGAAACATTTGCGCCACAGTATGGTGTCCGCAATGTGTCATGGGTACAGGGCTCAGAGATGGTTCAGGATATGTAGTAAGGGTTTTTAAAAATGTTTCAATGCTTTATAGAAGTATTTTTGATGGACATATAAAATACAAATGACAAACTCCTGATGTTAATCATTATTCTGTAGGCCAGTATTATCTTGAAATAACTTAGACAAGAAATAATCGTTAGCATAGTGTGCAGATAGAAGGATGATGTTGGGGGGACACATGTGAGCACCCAGCGTTTGGGAGGGCTTGCCTTCCTTTTCTAAAATTCTTTATTTCATTTTCTCAATTTGTTGGTAATTTAATAGCTCCCTTCCCCAGTTTATAGTTTAGTTGTGCAGAGAACGGCGTGGATTCGGCATGTTGGCTTTGCCACTGGAAATGTGGAAATAATTGTTCTTCTCTCTGTTACCTTTTCGGGGCATGATGAGTTAATGAGTTCAGCTTGCTTGGGGCTCAGTGATGACTGCTGGAAGAGGCAGAGGTAGATTCTGTGTCAGAGTGTTCATGGGAAGCGCTAATAGCTACTACATGTCAGGGTCAGTACCCGTTAAAAAGCAGAAGCTGTTTGTGTGCAGTCTTACTTAATTTGATCCTTTCATCCTAGGTTTCTGGTGCAATTCCGACAAGACAAAGTGTGTGTGAAGTTTATTCAGGGCAACCAGAAAAACGGGAGTGTCCCAACCTGCAAACGAAAAAACAACCGTCTCCTGGAAGTTGCAGTCCCTTAGCGGGGTCCTCCTCCGCCCTCACGGACTGGTTCTCTGTGCTAGTGCAATTGGGTTTGGTTTTGTGTGGGGTTCATTGTATGTTTGGTTATTGCCAAAAGCTAACTGTTAGGGTCTCTTGGCAAAATAAAAGTATTTGACTAATCAGTTTTTACTCTTGGAATAGTTTAACCCTTACATACACAGTCTGTCCCGGGGCAGGATTGTAGAAACTAACAGTGTCTGTTTCGATGTCATATGTGTCTCCTCTTTAGTTACCATGTTAGGTCTGTGTACCCTAAATCAGCATATTACTCATAAATCATTAATACATGTAAGTGTAGGAAGCGGCCTTGGAAGGTAGTGCATTCATTTATCAAGTATTTATTGAATGCCTTGTAAGCGGGCGCTATGCTAAATGGTATGGAAGCTCACTAGGAGCTTTGGCACCGCCAGGGCCATCGTAGTCTGGCTGGTTTGACTTAGCAACAGCTAAAAGGTTTGAAAAGCTTGAGACCAACACAATAACTGCAGAAGATGGACCGCATTCATAGGGACCCTGTAGCCTGATCGTCGCCCATAGATGATGTAAGGAGGGCCGGTCCGAGGAAGGAAGGAATGGGACCATACGACTGGACAAAAATCCTTCTACATTTTTTCTATTGAAAAGAAGAAAACTGACATTTGAACTGGATTTTTTATCTGTTCAGAATCTCCTACAATTACTTTTAACAATAGAAAACAAGTCCTTCTTCTAGAAAAGGTGCCAGGAATCGTCCAGTGAGACGATGAGGTTGCTGGTTCTGCTCAGCCTCCTATGGGGTCCTCCATAAACTATCTTGGTGTGGTTTCCACCCGGATATGAGTAGCTATTTTCTACAGCTAGCACAGTGGAGAAAGGCCCCAAGCCTTTCGGAGTGGCAGGTATTCTGGATGAGGTGCAATAAGACATCACGAGATCTTTTTTGAAAATTTTATTTATAATACACATTTTTGTATGGGAGAGGTTGCTAGGACAGGGCGCATATTTTAATAGAGGATCAAAATTTATGTTAATTTGTAGGGCTATTTTTCCTTCCAGTTTAAAGATTCATTTTGGAAACTACATTCTAAACTTTGGAATCAAATTGTTTCTTCTTCGGGAGGATAATGTATATATACATTGGTGTTAAATAATAAAATTGTTCTAATTTGGTGCCATTTGCTGGATCACAACTGTATTTTTGTATTTCAAGCTATTTTCCTAGGTTGTGTGTCAAAGTACTGTCTCACAGAACACTCTTACATGCAAACATTATATGTTCTCCATGTTAATTGAATGTTACCAATCTTTTATAAACCAGAAACAGTCACTGAAAATATTTTCCAAGAATTTCCTTTTGATTTTTTGTACTTTAAAAAAATTGTTCACATAAAAAAATTCTTACAAGTCTTTGTGTTTATTGGTGCAGGTAAAGAACTTAATTCTTTTCATTCTTCTCTTCTCTGTGCCTAAAGTGGTAGGTTGAGAGGTCTGCTAGAGGTGTTTCTGTTTTAAATGTATTTAAAAACTAGGGACTGTGTAGGTACATTGTTCACATACTAGTAAATGTGGAAAAGTGCGCAATAAAATTCTCCGCCTTGTCAGTACCCGTTGGCTCAGTCCCCAGTTTGCTTAACTGTGTGTATGTGCTCACCACAGGAAATAAGAATGCAGATTCTTATCTTCCCCTGCTTTGGTAGACAAAAGCCAGTGATAGGAGATGTTGTTCTTCACCTTGCCTTTCTCCTAGCAGAATATCATGAACTCCTCCTCATTCCTTTTACAGTGACACGGTGGTCCCTTGTACAGCCTGTGTAACGTGTGGACTGTCATGTGAGCATCGGTTCCCTGCTCAAGGGCACTGGGTTGCTGCTGCCTGCGTGGAACCTCAGGAGGGAACAAACTGAGTCTCTGCTTGAATTTCTCAGATGTCTTATCTGCAGACTGCATTACTATGGTTCCCAATAGTAGCAGTTAGCGATAGCATTTAGCACCCATGCAGTTCTCCAGTAGAGAAACCACTAAACTTAAACTCCACTGCAGGGGTTATACAGGGACTTTTTAAAAATCTCTACAAAGAAATTTTAAATAAGAGTGTTTTTGCCTATCCCTTCTTCACATAGTTTGTCGCTGATGTGTCTAATGCTTTGTAGGCATGGAACCCATCCTACACCCTAGTTGGTGGGAAAAGTTTGCTGAACGTAAGCCAGAAAACGCGCTCAAGGTGGAAAGGCTATGGAGTTCTTAGTACTTGAACCGTGCACGGAGGCCCCCTCCCTCTCCAGGGAGCAAGCCAGTGATTAAGGAGAGTGGAATTCCTGAGAGCAATTTAGAGATTTGCAACTTAGAAACAGGGTGGGAACCCTCTTTGTCAGTCCCAAGGTGAGGATTGTTGGGGCCTCTGAGGAACTTACACTCTCGGCTCATTGGGAGCCCTCCGTATTCCCTGTGGGGAGTAGCTTGACCTCACTGGAGTGGAGTGAGGTCGAGAGGTCACCCACCACCATCCAAGCGACTGCCAAAGAACAGCTGCTGAGCGTCACCCTGGGTCAAAATGCCATGGAAAGCTTGTTTTAAGGAAAAAACCTAACAAACCTGCATGCCACCTCCTGCCCCATATCCTGTACCAACGGAACCAGAATCCCCGGAGTAACTTTTGAAAATAGTCTTTTTAAAAATCACCAGATGCAGGCGTGTGTAGCTCAGTGGTAGAGCTCTTGTCTAGCTTGGGTACAGTCCTGGTTCAAATGCCAGCACTGCAAAAATTAATCAGTCACTCATGTTACAATTTGAGAACAAGTAAAACATACAGACAGAGCTGCTTTGTAGCTCTGCACTGCAGTCTGCGTCTGTGAAGTCCTCGGGAGATTCCGATTGTGCCCATATGTGGCACCCCTGGTCGAGAGCTGCTCCCTGGCTGCGTGGGACATTGGTGCCAATGTGGCCCAGCGCACCTGCAGTGCCAGGCCGGAGGCTATGAACTCACTGTCAGGGTGCGCACACCACCGATACTGTTTCATCTGTGGATTTCTGACACTGCTGCTGTGGAGAATTAAGGTACTGATGGTAGAGCCCGGATTTCTCTGGACTGTCATTTAAAAGGTTGCCAGCCTTGGGTTGACTTCTAGGAGTGAATAGGAGTTACCCAGCCTCGGATCCTGTTGTGACTGCCACCTGTTGTGCTGGAAAAAGTGAACAAGAATTGGGTACCAAGAATCAGACTATGTTCGTTGCCACCGTGAGCACCAATATGGTTCGTGCGGTTACTCTTCCCTTCTCCCCTGTATTGGGGATTGAACTCAGAGCCTTCACACTGAGCTACATTGCCTTTTCTTTTCCTTTTTTTTAAATTTTTATTTTTTGGGGGATTTTTCCGGTACCAGGAATCAAACTCATGACCTTGCGCTTGCCAGGCAGGCACTGTGCCGCTGAGCTAAATCCCCAGCCCTTTTTTTTTTTTTTTTTTTTAAATGAAAGGTTTCCCTCAGTTGCCCAGGGTGGGCTCAAAACTTGTGATCCTCCTGCCTCAGCCTTCCAGAGTCCTGGGGTTACAGGCATGCGCCAGCACCCAGCCTGGCAGTTACTCTTGGCTTTGATTTCCATTAACCACAGTGTAAGAAAGGAACCTGGGAAGGGTTACTTTCTCATTGACTGGTTATAGTTTTGTATTTCACACTTCGAACGATGACTTGGACCCAGAATTCAGCCTTCCGCTCAAGTCTGAATAGCTTGGCTCATCCCTGGAGTACGGGGCTGTCTGTAATGGCAAAAACCCAAGCCAACAGGGCCGAGAATCAAAGGTGTAGCCTTGGTATTTCTGATTTGGCCGAAATCTGAGAAAAGGAGCTGTTTCATTATCACATCTGTTCAATTAACATACTGAGAACTCTCAAATTCATGTAATTGGGTATTATTATGGTAATTAGTATGGTTTAAAATTCTTTATGCTAAATATAAAAGAAGCCGTTTTTTCCTTGCTGGTAATTTTCCATACAATAGGTAAGAGCTTTCAGACTTGGAGATATCCTCAAGTTGGAAGTGCTTTGTAAAATGAAGCGTGTGGCCAGGGAAGAATTCAGCAAATGCTTTAGCATGTCTACTCTTACGTTACATTTCAACCAGAACGCATCCCTCTAGGAAGCTTCGTTTTTACTCTGGGTATTGTTTTCCTATGAACCCTGCATGCTCAAGTTCACGAAAAACAATTACCGGTAGATGCAGGAGGCCAGAGGGGAAGAGGAGGAAGGATTGTAGTGTTGCTGTTCTTTTTCCTGGTGAGAAAAACAGCTGTAAGTTTTCATCCTCCTCTGAAGATTTGCCAGGTTGTTTATTATCATCAGCAGCGCGCCTCCTTCGCGTCTCCTTTCAGTGATCCTGTCTTGCCCTCCGCTCTTGTTGTCTTAGGCTGGCCTGGAGGGAGCTGTGGCCTTGAGGAGCTGTGGTACTTGCTTCCTGCTCTCGTCAGCCACTATTTCAATAGTCACACAGGAGAAGATTGTTTTGAGTCGGTTTCCTCCAAGTCTTGGAATGTTTTCCTCATTCTCTTTGGTTGGAAGATCGTTTTCAAAATCTGGAGTTAATCACGGCGCAGTGTAAGCCACAATCTCTTCCTCATTAACCACCGCCCCCCTTGATGGCCAGATACCTTCTGCCCAGTTTCATAAAACTCAACAAAAACCTAACTTTATAAGCTAGGAAAATAAGCTCGGTCTCTCAGTGCTTGAGTGAGGAATGGGAAACAAATTTATTCCGTATTCAACCAACACCTTGGCAGTATTGAGGGAAAGAAACTGGCTACATCATTTCAGTTATTTCATACTTCAGCTTCCTTCTTTTCCTCTCCACCCTCCTCTTGTGTTTTGTTGTAGTGGCGTTTCCTCCCCAGTTAATATATCTAGCATATTCTCGTAAAACTATGCTTTTGAATAACACACGGTTCAGAAATGTGCACATGGAAGTGAACACATCCATGTAAGCAGCACCCAAAACAAGCACCGAGGAGCCTCTTTCTCTGACCAAGTCATAATCCCCCAGAAAAGGAACTTCTGTCTTATTTATAACTTTATTTAGGTGGAATCACACCAGATAGTCTTCTGCTTGTCTTCTTTCACTCACATATTTGTGTGATTAATCCAGATTGCTGCCTGCAGCTAAGTCTGTTCATTCTCCTGTCTGTATAATTCAACCTGTGGGTAGACAACAGTTCCGTCGTGCATTTTACTATTAGTGACCATCTGGGTATTGTACCGTGTGCTGCTACTGACAGTATTCTATGTGCCTTTTGGTGCGTGTGTGTAACTATTTCTGCTGAATGTATATCAAGGAGAGCTGCTGAATCATAAGGTAAACTTACGCTCAGCATTAGTAGATGCCATCAAACTGACTTCCAAAAGAGCTGTACCAGTTTGCACTCCCCCCAGCTCTACCTCTCTGCTGTTCCTGGTGCTGTCAGTCTTTTTTCATTTGGGTCCTTCTGGAAGATCTCAGCTTTAATTTGCATTTTCCTGGTGACTGATAAGTGTGGTCACCGTTCAGTACTGGCCATGTGGATGTCATCTTTTGTAAAATGCTCATTCAAGTGTTTTGCTAGTTTTTCTGTTTTTTATTCCCTCTGATTTGCAGTTCTACATGTGTTTTGCATGTGAGATCTTTATGTTCATGGCATGTGTTCGTGGTTTCCTTTTTATTTACTTAACAATGTCTTTAGATGAGTTGTATTTTAGTGTAGTCCAGTTTTTCAGTTATTTCCTTTATTGTTAGTACTTGCCATTGTCTGTTTAGTATTTGCTTGACCAGCATTATGAAGATATTTGTCTATTTTTTTCTAGAACCTTATTGTTTTACCTTTCACATTTAGATTTTCCATCAAATGGGAGTTGATTATTTTTAATGGTGCAGAGGTCAAGATTTTTATTTTTCCTCATATAAATACCCAGGAGGCCCAGCACCTTTTATTGAATTTCAGGCCAACTTTGGCCCATTGCACTCTTTCTAGAGCGTCTCTTCTGTTACTTCGAACTTTGTGTTCAACTAAACTTAATTATTGTTAATATTATTAATTCCTGTAGATTTGCAATGTGTTGACATAGTATTCTAAAAGTGAAGTTCATCTCTTAGTAAGCCACTGTAAGGTCTTGCAATTGGGAAGTAAAAGGTATAAAACTAGTAAATATAAATAAAATAGGTAAAATTAAATATAAGTATTTTTAGATATGATAGTTCTTCAGAGTTTTGAAGATATGAACCTGAAAACAGTGATAGTTCTTCAGAGTTTTGAAATTATGAACCTGAAATAAACTTATCCTTTAGCCACAGGGATTTGAGCAGGGGCTTCCTAGTGGGATTATATGTGGAAAATGTTAGGTGTTTTCATAAAATAAATGAATAACTTCTAATTTTGGTTTTCCATTGACTCAGTGATTTCTATCCATGTTACTAATCCTCATTTTAAATTTTCCATAAAGTCTTGCTAAAATTACTGTCTTACATAGATGCATGTAGGTATTTTGCTTTTAGATTCAAATGTTTCCCTGTCTTAGAATTGTTTCCTTTAGTAGTGGGTAAAGAGAGCCCTCTGAGGGTTTTTCTGATTCTTTTTAGTCTTAAC